GAGAACGACGATGTGCCTTGCGCTGGAGGTTATTTAGGCACGTGTGTTTACGCATTAGAGCATGTCGGGGCTAGGCATCTAGGGCTTTGTGATTATTGGGAGCCAGGTTCCTGATCAGTGGAGACACGGCAGGCTTTGTTAAAGCGGAACAAGCATCCTCTGGTGCGTTGAGAGAGACGCTCGATTTCGTATGGACGTCATTTTCATTGACTGTAACATAGACAAAGGAGGAACGAAAAGATATAGAGAAAGAGAAAGCGAGTACACGTCCTAGGGACCCTAGAGGATCGATCCAAGTACGTCGCAAGACTCTATCTAAATTGACGTCGGTATTATATCGGACGGGGATATCCCTTGGATACATGCCTTGCGTCTTTAATAAGTAGGGCGATGGAAGGGTAGTTTAAAGTAAGTGGAGAAACAGGCTTCCCGTGAACAGCTTGGATAAGCATGCCTGAAGCAGTGCTGGCAGTGGTAACTGGAAGAAAATTACCAGGTATCAGGATAAGATAGTAGTGTATATATATGTAAGAAAATATAGATACCTTAAAGCATAGGCTGAATTGTCGATGAACTTTGAGGTTATGTCGACTCGAGGTCACGAATTTTCCTGACTTCACTCATTAACTTGTTGGTTTGATCAGTTTCTGCTAAACCAATATTAATTACCATCCCTTATGGCTGAGTCGGTTCTGCTTCCAATGTGGTCTGACGTCATCCTGTTTTACCGGTGTTGCAATGGACCACCTAAAATATAGATACAGATTATTGTTACGTCTTAAATTATTTTTTACTCTTAGGAAATATTTAACCTACCTCCACCAACTATTCGCTATTCCGTGTTAGGTCTCACCTTAAATTCTCTTTATCCACCAAGACCTTCATCTGACCTCCATCAACCGACCCTTCTTCCATCTTTGTTTTACTTCCTCTCGACCTTCTAGAACCTTCTAACCCAATCATCTCCCTTAATATGAAGAATATTTTATATCGGTTGATTTTTTATTTATTATGCGACAATTCGTCACTAATGTGACCTTCAAAGATATACCGATGTCAATTCACTAATTTCTCTGAAAATATTCACTTCCGGCAAAACGATGAGTATCAAGTTCATCCAGCGACTAATAAATTTCAGTAACAACTAGCTACGAGGGTTAGGAACGTTGTATATGAAATTGGACGTCCATGACCACACCCTGCGTAATTGATAAGGCTCTCCATTTGCTGTATTATCAATTTCTCGTGTTCAGGGGGTTGTAAATATTTAATTCGTTATTGCTCTAAAATTATGGCCTTGTCGTTTTTTCATTTTTTTTTCTTATCTTTCTTATCATCTGATTTTTTAAACGTCACCGGAAGTCGTCCTTGACCTACTTTCTTTTTTCATCCGGTAACACCCGACGATGCCCAACTTATATACTTTATATGCATTCTGTATATGCTTAATGACTCTCTTGCCATGTGCTCAACAAGCCATAATGGAATTCAGATACTAAAGCTACTCGAGGGTTAAAACCATAAAAGTCCAACCCTCGAGTACCGTGTTAAATTACCGATCTTTCGATATTTCTTTTTTTCCCCTTTCTCTCGCACGTTTCTTACCTTTCTCTATTTTATTTTCTTCCCGCAAACTAACGCTCTCCTAATTTCTTCAAGACACCAAACTGATGTCAATTTGCCGATTTTTCCCGACGTGTCTGAAATTTTCAACTTTGCACACTGAGACAAAAGTCCTCGGCTAGCTGTATCTTAATAATTCAAGGCACAAGTATAGGGATGCAATTCAATGGACGAATAAAATACGGCCCGTCTATATTATACAGTATACCTATATATTAAACTGTACTATACAGTATTACTAAACAATACAGGAAATTCTAGTATAGTATGTAGTACACGTATAAAGCCTTACGCAGACAACACACGTCAGCCATCCAATTTCGTGCTTGTCAAGAGAGAAACAAATATCATTAGAAATTTCCACATTGAATTTCCTGAGATACGTGTTACAACGTCAATAACATTTCTGAACAAGTTGTCACATAACACCGGAGACCGTTATTACTCTGGACAATTTGCGGTTTATCGCGTACACGGAACAAGAAAGTAAAGTACAGATTAAAATACAAGTTTTCAATGACTATTCGAGGATAATGATTGAGTTGTAATTCGTTTATAAGTAAATTTATGTGAAATTATAATAAGGTTATTGTACGTATGTAGAGATTGTGCTGCCACCTAGCGTTACTTTATTGATACTAAATATGTAGAGAACAACCTACTCGGCTGCTCATTCGCTGAAAATTTCACTTGAAATTTTACACCAGCTACCATCAACATACTTGCTTGAACGAAGCTGAAATTCCTTAGGAAATATCCTGCTCGTATGTATATGTATATAGTCAAGACTAATAGGCATAAATTTCTATAACGTTAATGTATAAATGAAGTGATGCTAACATGAAATATGGCGGCTGCCATTATCAGGCTTACGCGTCTTATTTACACGTTCGGTTTTCAAGCGGGTATAATCGAGTTTACATAAATTCCATTGACAGGAACGAAGCACGGGAATGACTTGGCTCATCGTTATGGAACGAGCGTCGAAATGTAAATTCGTAAAAGTCAAATCGACACGCGATAATTTCGTGTTTGCGCTGCGCCCAGTACTTTGATTTGCTGTATTTGTAGATGCGGTTAACGTGGCATGAACGAGCGCTATATACGATTTTCACAGCACGACTGATCTGTTGCTTTGACGTGGTCGATGCGGGGGTTGGCACCCCAATAAATCCCAAACGGGATATTCTGTGGTTTTGCGATAAAAGAAAGAGAGAACAAAAAGAGGAAAATACAACGAATGACAGGAGAAAGAAAAGAGAAAAAGAAACTTTCCAAAGCATCAGGCATAATCCTGTAATAACGTCAGCGGCCAATTCGGACAATTATTTTAAATTGTTTCCCAAAAAAAAAAGTATAAAAATTTCAGCTCCACCTGTGTCCATTTACTGTATACATATATATATATATATATATATGTACGTACATACATGCACATGTAGATTTGGCCTATATATCTATTACCTACAACCCTTGAATTATACATCATGTTGGGATATCCCCTAACCTTTTCTTCCCTTGGTACCCATTGAAAGTCTATGGTAAAAACAGCTACTTTCGGAAACCGTGGGGCGTCGTTCCAAGTCATTTAAGAATTCCAAGAATAATTTGTTCAAAATAATTTCTTAATATCCCGTTCAAATAAAAAATTCTCCAAAATCCAAGAAACGTGAATCGTGAAAGCACACATTTTGGTTAACTGAATTTAAAAGATTTTTTTATTAAAATATCGAACTATGCAGTCATTTATGCAATTTTTGTTAAAATAAAGAATTAGACGTAACACGGAGCTTCTACAAGACTTCGGTATAACGGCTGACCCGTTTTGGTTCTACCATCTACATATATAGTACATCAGCCGCGAGTATAGTACCGGAAGTACCTTCCTGCAATTTTCCAACAATTATCTTTCCGCTTCCCCCCTATATCTGCTTTTCTAGCACTCTCGTTCAGGCTGCCGGAGCGCAGCTATTTTTCCCCGATTAAGCTCTGCTTTTTCCGAGCTAACGAATTTTCATCTCGAGTCGTAGCCGCACTGATGTATTACCTGAAGTGACCAGTGCTGCCAGTTTACCGGCATATGGGAGATTGGATATTTAAAAAAAAATATCTCGACAATGCAAAAGCACCATAAGACCATAAGTGACTTGGAACAAGAATTTCTCAAAATTTGATCATGTCGAAAAATATTATTAAGACTTTGATTAAAATCGAATCTATGCATGAGACTGTATATAAACAAATACAGTGCAAATGCTCTACGTAATCGAGTAACCTATGGTAAAGTTCATCACGTGTATCTGCTTCTTCATTTCTACGATCAGGAGATCATGACCTACGAAGTCGGGTTTCTATATGACTCGTTGAACCTGCTTTAGTATTTCTATCCAGCTATTTCAGTACACCGAACGAATTTTCGTAAGTTTTGACATTTACCAATTTCCAGCTGGCAAACGTCGCGTTTCCTGCCCGACAGACTTTATTGAAATATTTACATCGTAAACCCTAACGAAAATTTCTTCATTTACATTTACATTCCATTATGTCACCACTGGATGCACTTTCGAAACATTGGAAAACAGATCTAGTAGGCAGTACCAGGTCGGCTCAAAACATCCAGCTAACTCACCATGAAATGTTCAAATCTCAGTGGTGAGCTACACTTGGAAAAATATTTAAATAAAACTGAACTTTTATTGTTACAAAAATCCAAAGTTGAATCATAAAGTTTATTTGTTCGAAAAATTAAAAAAAAAAAGTTTCTGGTCCTGCCGGTCCAACCTTGTTACCCTAAGTAAATGCATATTCAAATTAGGAATGAATAAATGAATAAGAATAAAAATAGTTAAAGGCGTATAAAAATTTTGCATCAGTTTCACCTCAAATTCAGGTTTATGATCGACCATGGTTATATGTACAGTGCATTATGTCTATCGATTCTGCACCATGAAAGAGATTCTGTCAAATAAATTTCCTGATGCACTTTCATTAACGATAAATTCAATCGCAGACTTGACGTTGATTTCAATTTTTTTTAAAAGAAATATAAATAAAATTCGCTCCTCCACATGGATGCATCAAAAACAATATTGGATTCGATATTCATATTTTAGATAAAGGGAATTTATTGAGATATCACTGAGAATCGTATTGACAATAGTAACAACCAGGACATTCATGGTGACCCGATGTCCTAGTTAGGTAGCATCTCGTCACCAATCTGATAGGCATTGTGTATATATATATATCTATATATCTGTTTATCAGCTAACAGCGGTCCACTGCACTATCAAGCAGATTGAATGAATGAGTTAAGTTTTCATTGCGCCGATGTGGATCGCACAGGGGATTCTATGTACGTGGAGTGGCGTCGCAACGGAGGAGCCGACCGACCGACGGACGAACGGGACCGACCAGCAGCCAAGCCAACGTCAGAGTGCTCTCCGACGTCGTCGCGTCCGCATCTGCCGATTGGGTTTATGGCGTATCGCGAGAAAAAGGGGAGATTTTAGAAAAGTCATAAAAAACCAGTGACAACGGATCACGTAATACAGTAAAATTGGAAAAAATTAAAAATAAATATAAAAAAGACATTATCCAGCGGGTGTCAATTTTCAATCCATCAAAAAAACGTTAGCAGACTGTTGATCGACGGGCGTTCATTATTCGCAGGAGGATATTGGAAAATAATTGCAAAAAAATTTTAGCTCGTGAAATATCGTTGAAAAAATTTTTAAAAGAACCTCAGTTCGAAAGGCGATAAGTGTTCGAGCACTGTGATAATTCTCGATGACCTTCAAACTATGTTTTCGTATCGACGGTCCATTTTAAATATTCTCAATTGCAATTAGTACGAAAGACTATATTGCGCCATCTACAATCTTATGTCTGAACTAGTAAGTTACAACTGATCATAAATCATTGAGTGAAGTACGTCGTTTACCCCATTGCTATATTTTCGTACGAAAAGTTCTGCGACCACCCAGCTATGACGCTGTGCTAATAGTGACAAACGTGACGTTATTCAGTAATTGGTTAGAATTGATAATAAAGAAAATAATTTACTACACGATCAGTGGTATCTCAGTGAAGATCTCGTGAAGATCTTGGACGATGAGGTTCTATACCCTGCTCCTATTCCTAGCCAGTTCCACGTGGGCGGACAATGGATTCGAGCAGAGTCCCAATTGCTTAGAACTGAAGTCGCAGGAGGCGTTGGATCTGAAACAGGTAAAATAAAAAAATATTAATTATTAAACCCAATCGAAACGTAGTATAAAATACTGAAGTCAGCTACTCTATATAAAAAAAAAAAAAAAAAAACCTGACGGATCCTAAAATAAATATGACATCCTCTATCTTGAAGATGGGTCAAAGGTCAAATTTGAATTCCTATACCGAATGAGCATTAGTGAGCTTGCGATTAGCATAACCCACATTTAAAACTCATGCACTGAATATAAAGCGTCGGTACCAACTGAGTTACGAGCAAGCTGTTGCGGGACCGATGTTCGCCCCATGGATTTGAGATCGGTCCTATCGTGGAGAAGGCGAGCACAGGGGTTAGGGAGGATGGAGGGGTCAAAGGGCACGCTTTGCGATTTATGATAGAAGTCAAGGGTGGGAGTAGATTTACTGCCAGAAGCATCCCTTCTCGACGGGCACGTATCGCGAGATTTTTTTTAGATGTTCGCCAGTAAACTAAGGAAGATCTTGGAGACTGATGCGTCCACGCAGAGAAGAAGTTAGAGGCATCAGCGAACCCCTGGGGATGGAATAATTTTTCCCTGTTGGCATTACGGGTCGACTCTATAAGTAAGAAAAAATGTATAGATATAGAGGAAGGAGAAATAATATTATATATACAACCAGGCTTACTACAATATACTCTTGGAGAATAGAATATACTCTTGGGTACTGGTTACGATATTAAACCTGGATTTAAGTAGTTATAGTAGTTTAAGAGCCAGACCTACAGTTGCCTGTGGTGAGTACATGGTACCAGTCTGGATGCGCTCTCTAGCTAAACGGATAGTGTTACAGTGGATTCCAGGGTGTAATCTTGCAGGATTCAGAGCTTCCTCTTGCAAGTATTTCCTGGCTGAGGCGAAACATCCACGGAAAGCTCTTACAGGGAGAAACGCGCTTTTAGTGTACGCTCAGCTTTTTGAACGTTTCTGTATATTTCTGCTCTTTCTCGCTCTAGCTCTCGTATCATCTCTCTATTTTATATACATTTGTATATATACGTTTCTGGTCTACCGCGGATTTGGCTTTTTGCCGTTTTGCAGACGGATTCACTTCGAAATCGTCTAATACCTATACCGCATACACTGTACCCAGGAGAACGGCGGATATCTTATATGGGGTTAAGCGCGGATTAGATCCGAAGGTTTCAGCATTTCGGAAAAAGGCAACGAAAGGGTTTTAAAGATTAAAAAAAAAACATTTGTAAGAAAAAGGCCACACCGAAAGCAGAGACACGTGCAATATATTTTTTTTTGTAACGAGTATAAATGCACTTGGTACTGGTAGCAGTGTCTGCCAGCTGGACAAATTTTCACAACTAAAATCCGCCAAAGGGCAGCGTGTACGAAAAATAGATAGAAAAAACAAGTGAAGAAGCTCCGCGTTCCGACGGAGGTTAGTCCTAGTGGACTAATGGATCGGTAGGGGCGGTCGGCTGGAATTGTTTCGGAAAATAAAAACAAGCTTGACAAACAGAGAGGAAAGCGGAAAGAGCGCGTGCAAAGGTACAGGATTGATAGCAAGGACCTCGTGCGTGGTGTGGTATCTCGTAATGGTGGATGATAGCGCTTTTATTATTTACAGGATGGAATATTATTCAGTCGAGATTACAGGGTGAGCATGACGATATATATATATACACATATATGCACAGTCAATGGCCAGAGGGAGAATGATCGGATAGGAATATAGATAACGTATATGGATATAAAGTCCAGTGTAAAAAAATTAAAAATAATAAAAGTAAAATCAATGCGAATAACTGAAATATGAAATAGGAGTAATTAACAAAAAAATTAAAAAAGGAGATATTCAATAAAAAAAATTTCTCGTACGCGAAATACTCGAAATCTGAAATTACCTCGTACGTGTAGCTGCAATTGGGCCAAACTGCATCGGATAGAAATGAAATTTGCCCATGACGTCAGATCCTCCTGGAAACCCTAGGAATTTCCAGGGATCCGCAAACCCGGTGCATGTGCCTGACGTCGGTACCCACTCTAAGTACATACCCCATATATGAAGTACATATACGTGTACATACCAGAGGTATACCATGGCGAAAGCGCAACTGCATATGTCGCCAGAAAGTAGCATCGAATTTTGACGTGCTTTCTATTATGCAGCGAAGTGCATTCGTGCAGCAAGTGCGTTTACCTAGGGTACAGGCCATGAAAAAAGGGAGAAAACGCACACGGCTGCGGGATAAGAAGGAAGAGAAAGAAACAGAAGGGAGTATAGCCGACGCAACTCGTCCATTAAGTTGGATACGTTTAAATGCATTTAAAATGCATTTTCAAGCTCGATTCAAGAGCAGAGGGTGAAACTGCACAATGCTTACGCTGGCTGCATCTGGGATCACCGGTATAATCTGGAATACCTGTGAATGCACTGTATACCATATTCCTATGCATATATGTAGATATATATATACAGATATAGAAAGTGGCTTAACGTACCATTTGGGGAATACATATTCCCGATGCATCAGGCTAATGCAAGAATTCCAACGTTTCTAGCATTACACTGCTGTAGATCCTACGGGTCTTATTACCATTTGGAAAGGCAACCGGTATTGCCGATAACGTTGATTCCCACGGGAACCCGACCTTAGCCTCTCTGGAAATCGAGTGGGACACATTTAGGTAGAACCAGTAGCCGATGTCGTGCGTGCATGGAGCATATTAATATATATATGTGTAAGAACAGTAGGAAGTGGTTAACTAGGGATTTTTAGTTACTAGTCAATATTTCCGCATGAAAATGGCCGAAAAATATACCCCAGGACAAACGTGTATCTCTTGCGTGACTATAATCTATAGGTATATGTATACAGGTGTGTATACATACTTTTCGGTTCCATCGATTCTATCGATCGTCCTGTGCACTTATCTCGTATACATAACATATCCGGAGATACAGTATATGATATCTGTATAGCTATAGTATGCAGTATTATATACGTGCATATAAATTGGCGGAGAGGAAAACTGTGTCTGGATGTTATAGGGTCATATATAGAGAAGATAAATCGGTAGGAGTCGAAAAATTGATGCACTTCGCATGCACCGAAAGGTTTTACCCGTTTTATATTGGCATAGTAGAAAAATGGATTAATAATATAATATACAGTTACTGGATCCACTTTTGTATCGGTGGATACGTGCGATTGCTGTATATCGTATGAGATTATTGGTATTTAAAAATTAGGCTACGATATATATTATTATTATATAGTGTCTTTTCCAATTCGTAATTCTTTATGGTATGCCGGTGCAATGGTTCACTTTAATTTCGTGCGCAATAGTTCTCTAATATATATTATACGCGTATACTCCATACCAAAAGTTTTACTTCCCTCTCGAAGGGGATAAGTTAGTAGATGGAATTTTCTGAAGGAGCAGTGACGTCAAAGAGCGTCGGGTAAGTTCAGCGGAAAATTTTAAAGGAATTGAAATGACACCGCGAGCTGCCGATTCCTGTTCGCATTTTAAAAGTAAAAAGATAGGTTCTCCCGAGCGCCGTTCCTTTGAAAAGTTAAACGCGAACGTTTATTCGCTAGCTCTCTTTATAGATGCTTGGCCGGAGAAGGCTGGAAGTAGTAAGCAGCCCTATCCAGAAACTGTGGAACAGTGGAAGCCCAGAAGCGCGATTCAAAGTACAAAACGCGTTCTTACGTAAGAAACTTATCCCGAGTTGACTAAAACTTTCTTCACTTGCGAGTTTACCTTTAGAAACAACTATGAAACTTCAGTTAAATACAAAATATAATAATAGGACTTTGAAGTTAATGGCCGCTAACGTCGCTAGTACGGGTATCTGCCGCTTGTGGCGCTTCCGTCGCCGTCATGGTGACTTTTGACTGCTGTGTTGTATACATATAGAAAAGTTCGAATTCTAAAAGCGATACAAATGCGTCCCATACCAGTTGTTCGCTGTAAAGCCGTATTTACGAGGGAGATTATATATAGATTATTATTATATATAGATATCCTCCAATTTCCTGTATCTAAGGTGTGCCAGTATTTCCTTGTGTACTGACCTAACTTACATCATCCTTAACGCTCCTTAATCATAAATCGAAACAAGGTTAGGATTCTCACGACTGTGTACCAACCGTCGTAGACAGGATTACCATCATACAACTTCATGAAATCGTATAGCTGAATACCAGTAAGTATGAGGTGAATTCACTCGGGGGAATATCTCCGTAAACAACTATCCTTCCCATATGGGATATAACATAACTATAGACTAGAATCCAACAACCTACAACCGTATATGCGTTAAGTACCGAAGCCATAGGTGCGTTAAACTTCTCTCCACGTACCCTCCATGACTTTCCATTTGGTCGAGCATGAGAACATTTTGCACCAGAAGCCATTCTGAAGAGCTTTCTGGAATAAGTCAATATAGATATATAGATATATGTATATGTATATCAAACTGATTACGTAGATAAGCAACGTACTTACTAATTTACTCTAATTTACAAATTTCCCTAATACCTTCGTCCCAGGCGTAAGTGCCCAGATACGTCAGTAAAGATACTCGTCTGACTATGCTTTACTTTATCTACTTGTGTCGTGGTTTGTAGATGTAATTCACACAAATGCTGAATGATTTTTCGGGACATTAATTGTCGGAAATTTTACAACGCCCATTTGCCAACAACCGCCTTTCCCCGTGTTCGCTGTGCCCATCTTTTTATGCTCTGCTTTACTTTTGCTTCTAGGCCGTCTTTGTGTCTGTTCGTCGAGTTACGAGCTACCTTTTGTTTGCAAAGTTTTTGGAAAATGGGAAAAGGCTTTACCGAGGACGCTGGGAGAGAGTTTTCGTGTTTTCCCGTGAAATCTTCCCTCAGCTGAGATTATTCGTTATGGTGGGGTTACGAAGTCTCGCGAAAAAAGGGTGTCTCGTACGACGTGTATATATATATATATATACACGTCTAAATACTTTGTAGGTTATATTGTTATGTACAACGGGGTATTATTAAGTTTCAAAATTAACTTGTTCTGTGATTATAGCTTGTAAAATTATATACTGTAGTTACTATGTCAACGTATCACCTGTGTTATCGAATATTCAACTTAATTTGCAATTCGCATACATCACATATTGAAATCTAGCTAATGCACAATTTTGCGGTTGTCGATTCGCGTAAGCTGTTAATATATAATTTTTAATTTGGTACGTAAACGGGGAGAATTTAATCATAAGTGAAATGAATTTAATAATTGATAAAACGAAATTATTTATTGGATATTCAATGAGATTGCCACACTGAAATTAAGTTAATAGTAGGCAGGATAAAGCGCGGCAAATTTGAATTCACTTAGCGACGAGGAGAAAGAATCAGAAGAAAAATAAGCGTGAAACGAGCCGCAGGAAGCTTTATCGATTAAAATATAAAAAATAAAATCCCAAATAAAAAAAAAGCTGTGCAAAAGATATAGGAGGCTTAGCGTATCTTGACTTTTTTGTTTTTAAGCTCAGCCAGGGTTTACTCGGAAGACCTCATCCCCTCTCGGTGATTTCCCCTCCATCTCTGTCAGTCTCTCTCACTTTTTAACTCTTTTTTCACCCCTCATCGTTTTTTTATTCATCTCTCCACCATCGTTCACTCTTTCTCCTCCCTTCATTCTCTTGAGCCTGTGTCCAACAGTCGCTTGACAGATTTATACCAAATGCCTTTTTTTTAAGTTTTTACATCATTCTTAAAATTGATTAGGAAGACTGGACTTGTCTTGGGACCATAAATAAAAAAAAAACTTCCATAAGAAAATTCCTTAATAACAATAAAATTGTTTGTAAATAAACTCGCGAAATAAAACGAATTCATATAAATTCATAAACAAACTCACAAAGCATAGGAGTATGTCTAGCCGTGACGTAATTATCGCAAGGGACGACACGTAGCAATTTTTTTGTCTAGTGGTTCTAAAATGAAAATTTAATAAGGATAGTAATCCAGATTTATAGAGTAAGTAAAAAGGAGATTTAAAAAAGGACCAACAAATAATTCCGTGGTCTTTGTGGTTTTCTATATTTTTTTCTTTCACTGCTTTCTCTCTCTCGCTCGTTTGCTCTATGACTCTGTCCTAGAAGCTTCTGTGCGATAGAGATTAAAGGAATTTTAATTAAATACGGAATTCGCCTTCATCGATTTAACGCTTAAACCAGGATGCGTATTGATTTCGGCCAGTTTTATATTAAAACTCCATGAACGCATTTCGCTCCTTCCCTCGCAAGTGTTTCTCTCTCCAGATAATTTCACTTTTCATTTCCGTTCGCATCACATACCCACATTTTCTTGATACCTTTAATACCCTTTTTTCTCTCTTTCCTTAACGCACTAAATATACCACTTATTGAACCACGCAACTCTATCACCTAATTTTGATTTATTATGTGTGACAAACTTTCCCAAACACGCCTTTGCATCTTTATGAATTTTTTTCATTGACTTGCAAATTTTCGCGAATAATCTCACAGGACGGAAATATTCGATGAAACAAGATAGCACGATGCAAATTATGTATGCGAAAACGGACAATTTCAAAAATTGTATTGACCGCGGTCCGCTGTACGGAATAACAGATTTGTTTGTTAATTATTTTTCTGTTTTGGAAAAATAATTATTCCACCGACACCGCGGAGCGATAACGTATTTTGAATTTCGCGCGAAAATTGCTCTAAAATTAAACGTAATCCAGTGAAGAATAATATCCTGGCAGTGCAACGGAGCCACAGATGCATGGCCTATAATTCGTATAAAATTTTTGCCTGGCTATCCTGGCTTTTCCGACTAGAATAGCAATTTCGTGCCCTGTGATGGTGGGCAATTAAAATAATGAAAGTGCAAATTGGACCGGCTGTTGTCACAATATACGAAGGTATATATGTATACCAAATTCTCTGTACATTCTGGTATTTATTAACAAACTCCATTCGATAACGAACAAAAGAGAATCCTGCTATTTACTCTATGCCCATAGAGACAATTCACACATTTACCAAATATCATATAAGGCCATATACTATATGTATAACTATGATATACATGATAAAAATTCATTTCATGATTTTCAATCTTTCAGATGATGAACATATGGTACGTTATGGAAATATTGGAACACAAACAACAACCAGGAAAACCAATGGGCGGTTCGCGGATTGTAGTCGACACCTGCCCAGTGATACAACTGACGTTAACATCTAATTATTTTCTGAAGATGCTATGGACCGAGAGTTTAGGTCATTTGGAATATACGTTCAGAATACACGATACAAGAACTCCAGGATTATGGGTGTCGACAGCATTACAAAATGGTAAATAGGAACGAGCCTTGATCCCAATAACATTACAAGAGTATATTAAAAAAAATTCAAAATGCCAAATTCAAATCTCCAAGACGTATAGGAACCTACAACGGTGACTAAGATATACCTAAAAAACATCCTACCTTAGGAATAAAGTTTCCAAAGTATGAAAAAAAAATTGAATTGACACCCGGACGAATTTCATTTGATGAAAATCCTGTTACAATATTTCAGAATATGTTATCACTTGGATACAGGTCAAAGTTTTTATATATAGATACTACAGTCAAACCAGGAATATAACTAGTTGTTTGACTGAGCTGAAAATTCTCCATTCGAAAGTAACATAGAACCCAGTTGAATTCAATCCTTAGTGAAATTCTTCATATAATTCCATAAAAGGAATTTCAGCTCAAGAAAATTCTTCGAGTTAAAAAAAATCTCTGTTACATAGTACAAATTCCTATTAACCTTCAAGCATCCTCAACGTTGGCAGACGATATAGACTCAAATTCTGTTAGCTTCACGCCAATCGATTCTCTATACCCATTAATAAATCTAGAGTGTAAGTTTACAAGAGCCTTGATACTATTTACCCCTATATACTTATTGAACCTAAAGAAATAACTTAACATTGATCAGCGAGCGATCAGGTCCCTGGATAATTTTACTAAGTATACAAGTTAACGACAAAGATTACATCCAAGAGTCATATACATAGTCAATTTTCTATTCTTGATTGGTCCATTGTTCGAGATAACATAAGTAAATCATCTCTCGGAAATAAATCATAATGAGTCCATGCGTGAGTTAACCACTTCAGTCAGATTACGTATATGTACATATGCACTAGACCTTATTCTACGTACATTCTAGCACAACGAGGTAATTACGTGTAATATTACGAGTATCCATGCGCGTTCACATTGGTAGATTTTCAACTGTCAAGAGAAATATGTATAAACTATTTTTTACTACAGTATGTCAATTCCATAGCATTGGGTTGCCGGTTTTCTAATTACAATCGAGTCAATTGAATGGCGTCGGAAGCGACAAGAAATGTCATCAGTTGGCTCGTTTCGTTATATATATTATATATATATCTATATGTACGGACGTATGGCAAAGTTTCCCGTATACCAACTAATTTGCAGTGATGATCGTCACGTAGCGATTAGCCTTAATTAACCTCTCTGATGCAGGCACCCTGGTCGGAGATCACTATAACCAATTCATGGGTAGCGTCCACGTGATGAAGGCAGTAGCATCGCACATGGTACTGACGTTTTGCATGAGCAAGACGGAGACTCAGCTGTTCTCACTCCTTCTTTCCCGCAAACGTGCACTACAGAAGAGCGACATAAAGGGCGTTCACAATCTCCTACCCCGACGACGGTTGAACATCGTTAGCACCCGAGTAACTTGCACCAATGCCTCAGGAAACTCCAGAGGGACCTTCACACTCGAATGGATGACCCTAGTCGTGTTATTCACGAGCGGCTTCTTCTCGACGATCATCCAATAATGAACGATGATCCAGCTACGTTTTCCTTTATCTCACTCACTCTCCTTCTCTCTCTCTCTCTCTCTCTTTCTCTTAAGACTGGGTAATAACTGATGTACTGCGTGCGTGGAACCTGTAAAAATTATAATTTTAGAGCGCAATGGAATAATATATATTATATATTATTTTTATCTTTTTTTACCTCATAGCTTGTTCATACACTTGTTTCGTTATAATTTCTAAATAGAAATTTCTACTTGTACGTTGTGCCGGTTAGAGAGCCTGCACCTTAGTGTCAAATAAATTAATTTCTCTCTTTCTCTCTCTCTCTCTCTCTTACATTTAATTTTGAGACAAGAAGAAATTTCCATTGATTCTTCAAAATTCCCAAAGGATGCTGCGATCTGCTTGTTGTTCGCATCTGGATCGTGGATTGGATTTTTATGATGAAGGGATACAGTCACTTTCAAAAGGGACGAAAGACATCTCTTCTAGTTACCTTTGACGTATACATGAAAAATATAGATAAAAGGATGTCAGGAGTATGGAGCTAATAAAAAAGAGAAAATCTGAAAATACATGTGAATGACTGAGCGAGTATGTAGAATTGCGTGAATCGTAGAGAGATAAAAATATATAAATAATTAAGAGCGAAAAGACGGCGTGTGAATATTCGTATGAATTTATTGGTTAGCAGCAGGACGAGGATGAAGAACCAATTTGGTTTTGGAATATTGGATTATGCAAGGGGAGATTGTCTTAAGGGAGCAAACGGGAAGCCAGCTGCGTTTCGAAAACTTCCTCTGCTAACCATAAGTAAACCCGGTTGTTGTTAAGCGTTCACGTGCAATAGAATCACCGTCTCCTACGGGATCCGTTTTCCGTCGTTTGGGAACATAATATACACGTAGCATGTACATATCCCAGGAGAACGTTCCCGATCGTCCCGTTTAATTATACGGAATACGATTAAATCGTGAGAGCCACGTTCACACGAACGAATTCGGTATAACGCGACTGGTTGAGATATACGTTTAAATCATCCGAGAATGATTTAAGTGCGAATGGCCATTGGACGTCTGTTGTGTTTAAACAGCTCTATAGTCTTTATTTATTGTACAGACGCTCGATTAATGATAATTATGTAATAATGCAATTGTCGTACGATGCTTAATGTGTGTATAAAATATCAAAGCAATAAAGGTGAGATTGAGATGTTTAAAAATATTCTTCTTTGAATGGAGTGTATCATTTTAAATTGTCACAACTTTCCTGCCAACAATCTTTACTCTCCATATTCATCCCTACGCCCAACTCGTCTTAGTCCTTAGACTTTCTCTGTTCTCTTTCGTATTATACAATTCCGTTGTATTATAAATCTCATTGCCTCAGGCTACTTGACTTTTTAAATAAGAGAAATCTTTTACTTGACTTTGGAATTTCAACCGGGTATATATATATATATGAACTTCTACGTAAGAAATGATGTACCAGTAACTGACTAAGAGCTTAACCTGGCAGTCAGCTTCGCGTAGCGAACGTTTATAAGAGGAAGAATGGAGAAATACGAAGGGTTCGATAATTAAGGTTAATTTACCAATTAACCCCACCCTCGATCGTATACGACTGCACGCCCACATTCTCAATCCTTGTGTCCAAAGCAAATTAGTCTTTCTCTCCGTCTTTCCCCTTCCTAAGGCTACCCCTCCCTCGGATACTTAGCTCCTTGTGATACATACCATCAATTCTATTTCCCGTGCCTATCTTTCTGATGACTTTCCTTCTTTTATATATTTTACTTGCCCCTCCATCACCAGCTGCAATCACGAGCCCTTCTTCCGTCGGGAAGTCGATCGAAGTACCAATTGCAGGATGGCCGAAGAGGAAAACCTTAAGACAACTTTCATCCGTCTCGGCCATTTTCTTGAATATGTTAAAACTTTCGAGGAGCAATTTATGGTACTTATCGCTAAAGAGTGACAGAGAGAATAATAGCGAATAAAATATTTGTTGTCTAGCTTCTCTCAATTGTCCCGTTGGAAAAGAAAGGAAATAAAAAAAAGAAAAAGAAAAACAGCAGAACAATTACCCCATTGACGATATTACCATTTTAATTCAGACGTGGGTGTGCAGGTCACCATCCATGAAGATGAAGATGATAATCGTCCAGGAACTTTCGGTGCGCAACCTTTTGATTCGACAAACAAGCGGATTGATGAATTAGCTAATCGCTGTATGCTAACGATGTGACTAATTTCAGGAGGCGTCTGGCCTGATATTCATGTAAGAAACACGTACAAAACGTTGCATAAGGATATAATACTCGTCTCTTTCCGCTTCAAACTCGCTACTATGTCGTAGGTGTTCCAGCTGTTACTCCAACGTCTCGTAACCCTACTCTACGTACCTAGACGGCAGGACGCTCAAATTTACGGGTTTACGGGTTTACACGTTGTACGTGCGCCGAATAAGAATTTTATTCGATTAACGCTGCCTCCTATTCTCTCTTATAAAATACGTAAGCTCTACCGACACTCGTAACGCCATGAGTTAGTCAAAGTGTAGATTACAAAAAAGATGCAGTCTAACCGAAGGTTGTCAATTGTATTGAAATACATGCTCAGTTCAAAATTTAGCCGAGAGATGGCGCCACTCGCACGACTAACTTTTCCTCCTCGATAGCTCGTCTATCAGTCGAATGATCGAAACTATCGGTGACATTCTTGTTCAGCCATTAGAGTTTAGGTTTAGACTGGCACATCTCCTCATTGGAGGAGTCAGCCATAAGGAAAGGAAGGAAGTTTAGGTTTAGGTCGTTTAGGCTAGGCAAGTTGTAAAGGCCATAGGACTCCTTTTTCACGGGATTGTGTGAGTTTAGGTAATAAAGGCTGGACAATATATATAGGACGTATAACTTATGCATATTGTACCCAGGGTGCAACAAGCGCGAAGCTACGTATTATGCACGTAGTCACACGCTGATATTACTCAGCCGACCGTGTTAAATTCGCAGAGGCGTGATACTCGCGTCGTGAACAATTTTCTCACACGTCGACGAAGCGAGCCTTTCACGTTTCACTAAGGGCTGTTTTGTTGGACGCGTGAGAGAGAAAAAGAAAGAAATAGTTCTATGAGACGTAGAGAACTGCCTATATAAATTATATCTGAACGTGTAGCAACGTGAAGTCGTGCTTTCATCTATGACGTTGTATTGGATTACGCGATTTTGCAGATCATATAAAAATACATACCCAGTCGCTTTCTAAAGACACGACAGGTTTAGTTAATTTTTTTATACTTCGAAACAAAATTAAAATGGCGGCGATTCATTAATCCTTCACACGTACAGCTCTTTCGTTAACAATGTATAAGGGTGAAATTGATATTTCGATATCATTACCTAGGTATCCATTTCAAGGGTGGTTTTGCGTTTCAAAGGAATTTCCTACCCCTTTTTTTATATATTGTTTTCAACATCCCCTATCTCTGCGGTCGATACGTTGCGTCCATTCAACCAACGAATACTGCGGCTACTTTGCTGTCATTTATTTTCATTGGAGTATACATTTGAGTGGAACACGTGCGCGGCTACTTTTACGCGGTCAAAGCCGCAGCGCTAATTGCGGTACGTGAAATCCACAGGGCGCTTAACTTTCGAATTTATTTCGCGTTTTCATGAACGAACATGGATATCAGTACTAGCGTACCCGCTGCTCGTATACGGTATGCATAATACATATGAAAATTCGCATTGCGTTTTCGCAAATCGCCTAGGATAAATTTACGGGTCGCTGATTACCTGACTGTCTACACGGCATGTAGAATTTACCAGATGCGGCGAGTCAGCACGAAATTTTCAGCGGATGGACATAAAAATTGATCACCCCAAAAAAAAAATAAAGATACGGAAATATAACAGATATAAAGAATGACTGTACTGAAAAAAAATATGAGATAAGCGCGTCAAAATACATATACATATATATTGGCACATAGTATATAAAACGAATGGCTATAGGTGAATTCGCACTATCCGTATCTATATTGTATATTGAACATATGGTATTAGCTTATGCATTACCAAATTTTTTTTTCTTATACCTTAGAATTCTATATAATAAATAATTTTTTTAAAAATTGCGAATAAATTTCATCTGAATATTTACACTACGGTACGTGACGTCATTATGTCTCTGGCACGTAAATATGAATACATTGAAATTTCATCTATTCTCTAATAACTTAATAGGCGTTTTCCGCAAGCTTCTAATTATACATATGTATGTACATACCCGGTTGTTCAGTCCAAACGTATCCATCTGAAGTTAGCGCCCGTTTGATTCGAATGGTAAAACGACGTTCAGGTGGTACATTTAGGCTGAACAACAATATATATAGGTATAGTAAACGTATGGTGCAGAATCAATTGATGGATGACTGATTTGATTGACGGTATTCAGGCATATGCAGTTATGCAGCCCGTTACGCAGCTGCCGATCGGTGCTCGTGTAAATGAATCTCCGCGTTGTTAACAAGAAAGTTAAGAAGCTTGAAAATTAACGAAAAAAGAATACCAGTAGATTCGATCTATATAAGATCCGGCCAACGTGACATAGTAAATAGAAAAATTTGTCATTTCGCGAAAATGGCGTCTCAGTCATCCAGATGAATTTCGAGTGTCGTAAGCAGATATGCCCAACAGTTGGAACGGACGTTCAGTGAAATTCTTACGAGTATTCAGAAGAGAAAATGCTGGAGTAGGTACTACTGGGAAGGAGTAAGAGAGAAAGAGAGAAATTCTTGTCAGTGACATAACTAGACGGCTGCCTGACTCATCAATTTGAATCAATTATCCCCACAGTCACTACTCCCTGGTAGAGTAGTGAGGAAGTACTTTTTTTTTGCGAAATCAATTACTCCGACATCGCATCGTCACTAGGAGAGTATATATATAGCGGGAAATTCGAATCCGTGACTCGCACGGGTATACGCGACAGAAATGGCTGCAATGGAAAATCGTGGTAACGAGCCAAGAAAAACAGTGAGGGCTCTGTTGTCGTGTTTCCGGAACGAGTATATAAGGGTGGTTTTTCGTTAGAAAGTCGAGGAATTGTCATCCCACGGATATATCTATATTTATGTATCTTTGATTCCTGACATTTTATCTCGATGAATAGACGAATATTTTCCAGTCAGCTTTCCTCCCTCTATTTTTCTCTTATACCATGATTATGTGTACTCCTTCCACGTAGCTTAATACATTCCATGGACCAGCCGGTGGGTTTTGATAAATAGTTCCCTGCGGCGGATACGGCCTATGGGGACGCAAGTGAAAAGGGCCATTAGGCGGGACTAGTGAAAAACGAATTGTCAGCTTGTGCACGGGTTGGACAAGTCCGAAGAAGAATAAAATAAATGGTCGTTTAGCATCTTTTTGGAGAGTGGGTATATACGGAGGGAGGGAAAGAATGAAAGAAAATAGGAGAATAACAGAATTGATACCAAGTGGCGGGGGAATCACTCGTTTTTCTTTATACTCCTTTCCACGGAAATGAAAATAATTAATCGAGCGCAGTTCCTACCGGCTTTCATTCGGAATGAGAACTCTAGGTAATACAGTAGAAAATCGGCGAGCGGACTACGAGCATTCCCGATTCCATCCGAATGCATGGTACTGTCACAGTGAGGCGGATTACTCGGAGAAACAAGTAGGTGGAGAAAAAGAAGCACTTTGGCTTAATTATTAATTTCTTTAGGAGGGCTGCTGTATTCCAATGAAAACGGAAATAATTAATTAACCAGTAATGACGGTGTTGAATACAAGCATATATAAATGTATATCACAGAAAAGTTATTGAACGAATTTAAATACGTCGCAAGCATAGATTAAAATTTTTATTAATATTACGATTGTACAGAATGTTGTAGCGTGAGAAAGAAATTATATATATAACATATACTTAATATACATATGCAAAGTAAAAAAATATATGTTCATATTCCTTTTTTAAATGTGGAATTTATTACCGCTTTCTATTATTCCTATATAACCGATGAAATTACATTGCCTTGCCAAACTGAATTTCCAGCCGGTGTAATCCGAATCTTAAATTCGCCTTTAACGAGCGCTCGATAGTTCGAAAAGGAAGGAGCTCGTTATCCGCATCTAGCGTCGTTAAACTTCGGCAGAGCAAACCGCCTTCCTCGATAACAGTCCCGGAAATTAAACGGCCAAACAAAACCCACCCATCCCTGTCCTGTCCGATATTCCATACGAGTACGACGTACATTAGCATCCGTTAGAAGCGAAGAAAAATTTCGACAGCTGCAAGCCGCGACCACCGTATTTTCTATTCACGTAAATTCCTTCGCTTCTATAGGTAGCTTAATTCTCTACGTAGTAAATTCTGTCCACGGTGTACAGGGTGTTCAAAATTTAAGGTGCCCCACGGATATGACGGTATTCCTGAAACAAAAGTACAGGTTGTAAATATTTTCGACACTGTGTATAACTACTTTTATCTTCAACGTAGTACCTACCAGCTAACCATTGTAACTGTATACTTATTGTATACTGTCTAACGTTACACGTACGAAATACGTTTCAACCATTTTTCTCTTCAGACGATCCTTTTTAAATGTCCCGCGCGAAAGCTCCACTTCTTCTTTTCCCCTGTCCGTTCTACTATAGCAGCTAGCAGTTGGCTTCTCAAGAGCGTGACCACTTTTTTTTCTTCCTCCAAACCATTCCGGATGCTACTCCGTCGAGACTGACGTCTCCTACGCGTCCTACATTTTATGCCTAATACACATACTTTCCAATAATTTGTATCAGGTACGCATAAATCTTCAGTTCCTTTCAGTCTCCTCACCATAGAGGATATATGCCATCACTATACAGATGTATATGTATACCTAAAATAATTTTTTCATGAAATAAACAATTTATAAGAAAAAAAACTCCTAGTGAATTGTCGCAAGACGCATGGTCAACCCTTGGCAGCTCTTCTCGTTCGTTATCCTAGACTTACTTGGTAGCGACAAAAAAATTCCCAGCAACCACTTCCCTTCAGGATTTTCTTCCGGAAAAGCCAAACTGTATATCAGCCTTTACCAAACAGCCTTCAGAGAGTAGGATAAATAGTGTGTACTAGAAAAGAATAAAATGACTTAATAGTAGCAAAGCGTTAAAATATTTTTCAACACTATTTTTTGTACACTTAAAAAAAATATCTTCTTATACAAAAATGACAATTATTACCTGAATGAGATTTTCACAAGACATCGAGTGAATCATAAGGGTCCTCCATCTCATAGAATCAAATAGGAATAGTTGCACGAGGCAAACTGCAAATGCATTGCTAATTGATCCACTAATAGCTATGCTAATTAAACTCTCAAGTGTTTCTTTCCTTTTTCTTTGCCAAAGAATCTTCTTTATCACATCCCAGACTCTAGAGGCAATCAACAATAACGATGCATTTTACTTTAAACTGCATTTCCTTAGAATTGATATGATATATATATTTTTTTCAATATATATATAAAAAGAGAGACTTATATATCTGAGTGTATCGTAGTGAAGCATTAAAAGTGACACACGGTTACATGTGGCTTGTAATTTGCACGAAATTACGAAATGACGTAATTAGAACGTTGGCATTACCGTAGCAAGGGGACTACTGTGCTACTTCCACACGCTATCCGCCACCGCCTCAGGGTTTTAGATGCAAACTTCACCATTCTGGACGGGAGAACCAGAAATGTAATATCCATATAACGAAAGTCTGTAGCAACGGGTATCACCATAATAACCATAGTTTAATTCCCCTAAAGAATTTCACACTCAAACCTCAGACATTAGTAAGGAACAATTTCCTGTGGATCTTTAAAAGGTGGATATAAAAATAAAAAAAAATAACATTAGCCAACAAGCAATAAAGAATGACTAGGGTGGATTCCTAATCGATTTGCAATTTTCATTCGAGATAAATTTCGTCCTGAAGGGAAATGAGAATTGATTATGGAAAGTAAAAAAAAAATGGAATAGAAAAGGGGTGTCTTACTACCTCACCCTTGGTTCATCACCTGACTCAGTTTTTAACTTTTGAAGATTCTACAAAGGTTATAGGTGATAGGTATATAGATCCGAAGGGAGGGACGATGGAAAGGAGGGATAGAAAAGTGCCAGATGGATGAAGTAAAGATTCTTAGGGGTTAAGGTGGTATTTTCTTTACTCAGAATTTCTACTTTACGTAAAGGTATTTGAAAAAAATTGAGTCCACGAGGATTTTTATCATACGGTGAAAATTGGTTGAGATTGATTAATAAGAACATTGGAGTGGTCCAAATTGTCAATCCTTTTTCAGTTGTGGAAGAGGGTTAACACTAAACATTTTTTAAAAACGTATTTTTGGCTCTAAAAGGGTCAAAGGACCCGTCGATGGTACGTTTAGTGTTAAGGAATCGACGCTTTGTTACCCTGATTTTTTCCAAGCATCTGACTTCCCAGGGAACGCAAGGCGACCGGACAATCTCGCGGAACGGGAATTTAATAAAGCGTCATTGAAGGGTCAGATATCCGCTAGGGGTGCAGGGTGAAAGAAATGGACTTGGAGCGTGTCCGGCATCCCCATGATTCCCTTTCCTTTCACACTAGGGTCCTTATACACAGTGGACGTATTCCGTCTTTGTCAGACTCATTGTGTATATATATAGTGATGTTACCATTCCTGCCTTCATTTCTTTTAGGGCATTTTTACATCCGGCTTTTTCGCGACGTGCTTTCTTGGCGCTTTCCGGTTATCCTTCGTCCACTAGTTTTTCCATGCTTGACTCCTGCGACTCAACGATGGACGTTGCCGAGTTCTGATATAGAATCTTCAGCGGGGCTCAACTTCCATTTTACAATATATCAAGCTAGGACATAAAGTTGACTTTATGAATTGCATACTTTTTGTATTTATATGTATTAAATGTTTTTTTATGGAATATTGCAATACGAAATATATTATATGGTCTTGGGCCATATTTCCAGTTTCAGATTTACTATATTTGTTTTTTTTTGTACAATATATTTCGCTTCTGGAAATTACGTATCAGCTGCTGAATCCCTGTAGGCCTATTGTCTTCTCCTCAAATAATTTCTTCGTGATATTTCATCTTGGGTAAAAGATTGCCTGAAAAAGGGTGACTCAAAAAGCCAATGACAAAAGGGACAAGGATATTTTTTGTCGTTTACTATGATATTTAATAGGCCCTAACTCTTGGACCTTTTAGAATATCCTTTCTTTAGCAGGAGACGAGTCCGTTAGCATTTCTCTTAGTGAACACGAATAGATACATTGGGATTTTAAGGGTTGAATTATATCTTACAGTTAAAATGTAAATGTTTCTCGAGTTTCCTAAAGACAAAAAAGATTAGTCCAGAGACTTTATTATCATTGTTTTCGTGATACTGAGTTAATAGCCCTTAAGCAATAAAGGCGAAATAAAAAGTAAATGGCTATTCGTAGAACGAAATTCAGTTGCAATACTACATACTGTACAAACTACAGGCATAAAAATTCCGAGAACAGTTTATTGCGCAAAGATGAATTTCAATACCGATGGATATTTCTCTCCACGTGTACACGCGCCTATACCAATCTCAAAACTCATATAACACGTTACGATATCAGCTACAGAGGACAATCAAAATATTTTTCTAGCCAGTCAGCGAACTCTGTGATCCACTGAAATATTTTCTAGCAGTGCTCATGCGCATGATCTGTACCAGAAATCCGGCGTGTTCCGTTGGATTTACGGGGTCGACCTATTTCACAAAATGATCTTTTTCAGGGTGATATAGAACGAGTGCGATATCGAGATTATCCGGAGTGGGAAAAATCTGAAATGCACACAGTTCCAAGTGCTCACTTGATTGGTCAAAGAACCCTTTAAAAAGAGTTGAAACAGGGAACGAAGCGTGTACGGCACAACTTTTCAAGGATCATCGTATTCGACCGATTCATTATTGAACTTAGGAAACTCCTTTTTCAGAATGTATGATCAGCTCACATGAAAACAGGGCAAAGATAAAGGTAAAAAATATTGATAGCACTTAAGAACAGAGGTAATGAAGGCGATAATAAAGTTACATGTAATAAATTTATAATAAAGTAATCAAATACCTGGTAATTCCACTGTATCATAAAGGTATCTGCGCCGTTATATAGAAAAATCAATAGCGGTATTCTAAATCCTTTTCTTCAAGTCTTGATCGTTTTAGAAGCCGACCATAAGGAATCAAGTATTCCTATTTTATGATCGTACAACGATTCGGAATCTATCAGCTTCGATAACACCAGCGTTTTATACCTACGAGCGAAAGCGTCGTAACCGTGCTTACCGACGTTATTTGAATTTCGAAAATGATGCTCCGATTCCATGATATTACGCACCGAATTCCTCGAGATACGTTTCCAGTATGAATAGAACATATATCGCGTATAAATAGTATCACCATCTGATAATTCTAAGAAATAATAGCCAATACCCTATAGAAATTTACGGAAGAACATAGCGTCGCGAGCACGCTGTCAAAATTTTAATGGGGGTTGGCAGAGCGCCGGCGCCATTCTATAAATAAGCCACGACACGAGGCGTCTCTTACGGACTGTGCACGAACTAAAAATCAGTACTATAGTGCCGGCACTGCTGACACAGGGTGTTGCAAGCTCCGCGACCTTTTTTCGCAGCGCGAATAAAAAAAAAGGCCAACGAAACCCCGGTGATCGTCGTCAACGTTGAAAAATAGTCTGTCCGGGTTACATGCGAGAGTCAGTCGGCTTCCGGTGCGATTGGTACGCATTTCCGTCGTGAGAGAAGAGAAATATCTATACATATGTATACATACATACAGAGCCATAAGGAAATAATGCCACGAGTGTCTGGACTAACCTGCAAACTGTTTTTACATTAAAAAAAACATTGAATCAGAAAAGAATGCCGAGTCTTGAACGCTCGGGTTATGCGGTGGCCGATTCGTGAAATGCTAAAATTAAATTTTGATATATTTGGACCGACAGGTCCGTCACTGTCGAAATAGCAACGGGATCAGTATGTAAAGAGGGTAGTTACGTCTGTGAATCCGACTGTGGTTACTTTCATACAGACAAACCGAAAGGATTAATATCTGATAAGCTAAAAGAAGATTTAATTAAGGGTTCCAAGAACAATGGAGATATTATTGTAACGCAAGAAGATTCGTGACTGTGTTGTGCATATTCTCAAGGTAAAAGGAAGAATAAGAGTAATTCGTAAAACCGTAGACGCGAGAGTAAATTAATTCCGGACATCGAACTCACGAATTCTCTTTGGGACAAGAAACTAATTATAGGTAGGTAAAGAAGATCGTAGCACTGCTGCGAGCCTGTCGGAAAATTTTATCAAACTGTGACGAGGTTTTTGAGCTCTGATATAAAATTCCAAGCTCACTCATATACATATACATTATGGAATCACGTTGGTGCCTACATGCTTTCTGAAACACGTGATCCAGTATACGAGCTTAATTATTATAGGTGCCACAATTCTTATTAATTTCAACCTTATAGCTCAAAATCTTGCTATACACATTCGTTTTCGATTACCTATGCTTACCACGGTGACCTATAATAATTATAAATCTTATTTACCCTTCTTATTGTATATATTCCAATTAAGAATCTTTACTTTTCGTTAATAGCGTTAAAAAAAAGCTCCAGACGTATCTAACCTGTTTACTGTTACGTCAATCAGGATACGTAAATATTGGGTCGAATAACTGCGGCGAGCTTCAATCCCTTCTTCAATCTATTATATATATATATATACTAGATAGAATAATATATAGTCCATAGAGGCTAATAGCTTCTCGACCGTTCTGAGTTCGCACTGCTGGGCAAATGGCCAATGTGAAATTCTCTCGAAACCGAAGTCAATGACTAACTGGTTACTTTCTTTTGTATTACGTTTATGTCTGAGCTAGTTAAATCTTTTACGTGGATCAATTGTCTTTCGTGAAACACTTGCAAGAAGTTTAGGCAAAAAAGACACAATCTTTCACGTCTCTGCTTCCCTTGAACATTTGAAACACAAGCCACAGAAGAGAATCTCTTTGGATGCGTGTCATCTACACTTTGGTACAGACCATTTCAAAACAGCATCGTGGTTATTTCTGATGTGGATTTTACAGTGAATGTATACCCGGAACACGAGATGCTCATGACGGTGAACACCATCCGGATCTATTTCTATCATTTATTCAATTTCATTGGCATGTTCACTGACACGTATTTACTCTAAAACATTCTTATCGCTATCAACCTTATCAAAATTCGAAAAACGTGATTGGAATATAAATGAATATAATTTTACAGAACACCACCATAATGGCACTTGTGATGTTACCCTGTGATTTACCATGGTGGCCGGCAGTGGTGAAACAATTTGAAAAAGCCGCCGTAGCTACTGAATCTAGAGACCTTTTGGAAGCCATGCAGAGGCTACACGATATGTGCAAGTAAATAATATTTCACAGTGAAATTTTCTTTTTTTAACTTAATCTAAAGACTATACTTGCATTTGCTGTATATAATGCGTCCTACATATTATACTTAAATACTTAGTAATAATTTTACATACTGCATTACACGTTACACTAGACCCTAAATCTAACATAAATATAACATGTCTTACCAGTATCGTTTATTACTAGCAGTGACTCTATATTCAGCTGCTGATCTCACGTGGCTATTCCATTTTATAATGTCCGCGTTTAATGCGAGAATATCTCGTTCAGCTTCTGCGTATCTAATACACTGGCAAATTTTATTTTTGGCCATTTTACCAAGCATATATTCTACACTGTGCTTAGATGATACATATTACTATATTTCACTATGTGTTTGTATATACACATAACAGTACATGTATATATGCAATTGTACATATAAATAGCTGTAGATTATAACAACGTCAAATACAAGGGAGAATTTACAGGGGTTTTTTAATGCTCTTTTCAGCATAAGTCTTGATCCGGAAGAAGATGTGCAGGAACCTGATTTGTTTTCGGGGCTGGCTCGTTTCCTGGACACGGATTTAACTAGTGCGGAACGTGAACATGTTTTTACAAAAACAATACCATGTATGGTTGAGAGGGCAAAAGCTTTGAAATCCACAAAGCCCCCACAAGGTTTACATTTTAGCTTGCAGCAGCAAGGTAATCTGATTTATATATACATATATATATTATATATATACACACATTCTTAACTCTGTATAATATACGTAACTTCTGATTTTACGGTACGGACTATACTTATTATATCTTGCAAAGAGGTGTATAAAGGTATATATGTACTCGGCTCTAACGTACCTATGTGAAATGGATAAAGGAAGAACATAATAAGTCGTTGAAAAATGGGGATGCTTTCCTGTTGTTTCAACGAGATTCTTGACATTTATTGTACACGCTGTGGAACACCGGATTGACGTGTTTATTTAAAAAAAAAGTTTATTTATCTCCGTTAGGGGACAGCGTCGAGTACAGTTACGGTTTCGTATCGTCCCTCATCGCCAATGCGTTTTTTTCTACCTATCCGAAGAGGACAAACAAGACTCATCCTACCTTGGGAGATTTCAACTTCACGAATTTCTTCAAGGAACTTCACTCGTAAGTGAGCAAGGTTATAAATAGAGAATAGGTATACCAGTACCTCTGGATGAGGTTGCGGGGGGTGAAGAGAGGAGGAGTTCGATCGATCCAAGATGCTTGGTTCTTCTTAACGAGCGCCATCTTGTTTGTATTGTTGTATATAGTATATGGGCAATGTAGCGGCATTGACCATTTATATGTTTGTATATCTAATAAATTGGCGGATATTTCATATCAAGCTAGACACTCTGATATATATCTTCTATCTATAGTAGATTCATAAATAAGCATGGCCTATATGACTACCGCCATGAATAAAATAGCAACAATTAATCTGCTTAGGTTGGTTGCCGTTAATTATTATTATTAATGCCCTCTTCTTCATCTAGAAATGGACAGAAGGCTAAGTTACGCAGCATATTCCATTACTTTGATTATCTGGAGAATGAACAGGCATTGGAGGGAAAATTGGTCATTTCCAGACAGGTGACTAATTTAGCTGTCTTAATGAAGTATTTGCTGCTTGTGCTAAATGAATATTGTTACTAGCAGTTCTTGTAATTGCAGGTAATGACCTCCAAGCAATGGCTAACAATAGAGGATTGGCTGGAGAGCAGTGTGCCATTGTGTCCATTGACAATAAGACACGAGGGACGTCTGGAGAGATTCGAGGCAGAGACTAAAGTACTTCATGTGTGTTTTGCAAGTTCAAAATTTGGCAGCGGCGTTTTGCAAGGTCAAATAAATCAAGAAACAGTACATGTAAGTAAGTATTATTTGTGTGAAAAATGCGTTCCATTATAAATTGAAACGTCAAGAGGAACCCCAAAATCCCTATTTGTAACAGTGTGTCCTTGCGAAGAGAATTTAGCGGGGTCCACTTGATTGTCATATCAGAATTACTTTGTCATCATTAATATCATCATCCATTTGATTCTTCATCGATTGGACTTCAGATGGCGACACATCCTGAACTTCTTGCAGCGATTTTATCAGTTGAAGCCTTAGAGGACAACGAAGTTTTAATAGTTGAAGGGGTTAGACATTTCTCTAGGATAAATGACCCTAAGCACAGAGCCGTGTTCGAGAGTATACCCAAGCCTAATGCGGTTAGTTGTTATCATAATTTTAGAATACAGATAAATTCATTATTTAAATATATTTTGGACATTGTCAAATACTTGGCATAGGTGATGGTTTGCTGTATCGATCCCGAAGATTATTCTACACTACCCTTAACGCAGTTCGAGGAAGATAATATCCTCAGGGAGATGAATAAGTCTCTTCTTGGATTTAGACAAAGACACGTTCCTAGTAGTCCTACGGATCCTGTTAAGCCTGATTTGGATTCTGAAACGGGTCCCGGTGCACGGCGGTTGTCGCCAATAGGAGAGAGTTTTAGTAGTACTCCACCGGAAGCTGAGGGTGAGGAGAAAGTTGATAACAAACAAAGCATGTTAATTGACAAAAAAAAAGCTTAAGATTTGACTTAAAAATATTGAAATAAATTCAGCGGCAGCCAACCTATCAAAGGATCTTATCAGTAATACAGAAAATATGACTGAGATACGAACAAGGCCTAATGGTAAATCAGTAAGACCGTCTAGTCCTAGTGGAATCTGTAAAGCTAGCAACTATACCAATAGAAGAAATAGATTTATCGTTTTGGGATCCAGTGGTGAGGTACTACCAGTAACAAGAAGATCAATAGGACAAATGTCTGTCTATAGTAGTTGCAACAGTCAAAGTACGGACAGTTTCCATAGCGCCAAAGATACCATCGACGAGGAACCAGGTACCATACGGATGAAAATCTATAAGATACGATTTGTAAACTGAAGCGTCAATCTTCCTTATTTTTTTACCAGACGAGGAGGAACAGAAATTAAACAGGCGATATAGTACCCAATTAGATACACCGGAACGACGGGGTACTTTTGCGCAACGATTAAAGGATGCCCTGAAGAGGGAAAGTACAGCGACCGGAACAACCTCATCGAACTCCTCGGGAGAGAGTAGCTACGCCGTGGGTATAAGCATCGCCGGAAGTCACGTTGATGATCAAGAGATCAAGTAAAAATCAATGTTAAATAAAGATACGTCGTTAAGAATGCATTGAATTAAAGGTTTCACAATTTCAATAATAAATTCCAGAGTCAAGAGGGGTGGCTCGCGAGGTTTTGTTTTGAGAGATGACACAGTCGATGAGGAATTCCTTAAAGAATCCTTGGAAGCCGAGCAAAAGTGGCTCGGACGATTCCGGCAGAGTCAACCAGCTATGATCCAGCGTCGGGATACGAATTCCAGCAGTAGATATAGCTTTAGTACTGAATATAGCTCGGGTAAGCACTCTAGCACAAGTACCCCTAGCTCAACTGTCACACTCCTAAAACTTTCCTAATAATGGCCGCCGACATCACTATATCTTGGCAGACTTTTCTTCAGAGCTTGAAGAGGTCTACGAGCAGCTGTCCAAGTGGCTTGAAGATCCGATCGTGGTTGATGAAAATCGTGAGCTGGACGCCAGGGATCGTGCAGTCGTCAGATTCGCTGGTTCCCTCTTGAAGCGCGCATTAAGTGAATCCTTCGCCGGAGTTCCTGTCCAAGAAGGTGAGCCTCAGCCCGTCCATGACTCAGATGACGCACAACAGAGGCACAAACTGGCACTGGCTGTGAGGAGTTTAAGTCTGGAATTGGCACGACATAAGAATAGGAGACAACAATCGGTGAGAATCTTATTCTTGTACAAGTCGTATAGCTGTATATAGGCTGTTACAATAGATAAAATGGCGACAATCGTTTTATGAGAATCGCCTGAAACGTTGTTTGATAATAACTTGACATTACATTTAGCTCGTTGTAAAGATGGAATGAGAGACAGTCCAGGACTAACAAAGGAGAATAAATATTAAGAGTAAAACCTGACGATCCAGAGTCTGATTGTCGACGCTAATCAATTACCTAATTAATAATTGAGATTACTGAATTACGCGTGAGCATTAGATCAGCGGGGTTGACGGTATATATACAGGTATCAGAGAACGAGGAGGTGACTAGTTACGAAGATGCCTCAAGCGAAGATCCAAAGGTGGCCAAAGATGCGAAGAATTCCCAGCGTAGAAAGCTATGGGCCATTACAGTCACTTCTGAGGTGTTCCAGACCTTGGTGGACGATGAAGCTACCATTTCTCTGCCTTCCACTGCGCCAATAAACGTCACCGGAAGTGAGAGCGACACGAGACAAGTCCTAGGGTCTTATTCTGGAAAGATATGCCCTCCGGAAGTAGATGATCAGTCTCGTACGAGCGAGGCGAGCGATTTGCAGATCGTCAAGGTGCCACTTGTCGATAGAACTTATTGGATCTAGTATGCGAGTCAGTAATCGTGTGAACCCACCTTAAGCATGGTGTCATTAAACGCACAATTATTATATTGCAAAGTTATGTAATTATAAAAGAGTATATACGATCTCTGAGGTCTCGCGTACAGTCCAATAGGAAACTCGATGTTGTGTTGCATAATGCATAATTAATCCATGTTTCTAATTAACTCTAAAGATCTAATTACTAATACGTCTGTCTCTCGTTCTATCCGTTTAATTGCAATCTAGAGTGCCTTTTAATTTCGCGCATTTGCCTCTCATCCGTTCCTTTGTAAATGACGACAGAAAGACAACTATATACACATACATATTGATATATATATGTCTCCATCGTGATGCGTATTTAAAACAGCACTATCCTATAATCTTTGTATTATTTTTTTGATTTGTTCCAAAGACTTTACAGAATCTCTCGGTATTCTCTAATTCGTGTGTTCTACCTATGCATCTGCTTTGAGACACTATCTAATGAAAGACGTGCCAAACTTATACACCTTTCTCCATACCAAACCTTAAATAAGCACCTGTCTATGGTATATGAAAATTTAAAAAAACCTATACTGTAGATGCCTAGAGAAAGCAGCCCCCAAGCTGGTGGTTTACTGCCGATTGCAACTGGCAATTGGGGATGCGGCTCTAGGCTGAAAGGAGATCCACAATTGAAGTTAGTCATCCAGTGGTTGGCAGCGTCATTGGCTGGGGTTCCAAGATTGATATACTACACATCCGGAAATACCAGTCTATCCAAGGTATCATATAGAGTTAAATTATTAAATTAATCTACTACTGAGAAATGGTGAATATGAATATCATTCCAGCTGGATACTGTGAGCAGAGTTTTGATGGACAGACACTGGTCAGTTGGTGATTTAACAGCTGCCACTCTGCGATTTGCCCTCCAAGCTATCGAAGAACGTGTTGAAGGTAGAAATAGCCTTTTCGAGGAATTAATTGGTATGGATAAACCGAGTCCTTAGCCCGACACAATGCTGTCCGTACTGGTAGACATACTTGCCAATATGATAGAGGACAGCTTATCAGTATGCATCGAATGAACTTTTTACATCTTTCCATTAAAATCTGGAATACGAGAAACGCACCGACATATCTAAGACGTCGTATAATGTACGCGCAAGATACCATATGTTATTTTGAATCCTTCTAAGAGAAATTCAAAAGGGCCAACCGGTCCTGTCGTTTTAGCATATCAAAGGAATATCAGACGATATGGCGGTAAACATACGCATTTGATTTAAGCAGTGTATCTATAATATTATATAGATACGATATAGTGGAAATGTAGAGCGTTTTGGAGAACGATGGGGTTCTTGCCAGGGTGCTCTGGTAACGATATTCTAAATAATGAGGTAATCATCATCTGTACGTAATGATACGTAGAACCGAAATTTGATTGACTCGACTTACACGAGTCGATCCTTTACAATTACATGCAATAACTAACGAGGCACAATATACCTACTATATTTTGTACAGCAATATTTATAAGAGTGTTATATACCAAAAAATAATTATATACAAAAAAATATATCAATAGAATAGATTTTTAGAGAGATCTTTTAGAGATGAGTGTTTTGTAATGGAATCTGGATAGGCAGCTTTTATACAAGACGATGCTATTTATATGCAAATGCTTTAGTAGATCAAAGACGTGGCATATGTTAATTGATTATAATATCTTTGAAGAGTGTCCTATGGATGAGAAATATTTGCTGAAAATTGTGTCGATTGAAATGAGGTCTTCCATTTAAAAAAAATCCAGAAAGGTAAAGAGAATGAGATGAACGTATATAACGTGAAAGTATCCGATACACACGTTATCGCTCATATGGAACACACTTTGGGACGACGTATTATTGGGAATGTTGTAAAATTGATTATAAATCATATAATATGTATATTGTATATAATAGGGGGATAATAAATTTCTATCGAATTTAATGATGATTGCATGACTTTATACTAGTATAGCATGTCGATTCTATTTTTTCCCGTTGTTTTAAAATATTCATAGAGTCCCTTAACTGCAAAAAATACCTCAAGCTACGCATCACAGCATTTATTGATATCACATGTTAATAGAGTTTTTATATATTATTAATTGCACTGCTTATGAGCAGCTGCGGCTGGACTAACACCAACTTTGCGTTGATTAGCAAAGGAAATTCAGTGCCTGATAGATTATTATCTTTGGCATTCGTCTGTCGACTCTATCGCACAAATCTTCAATCTAATTACAAGAAATGCTTCCTTTTATTTTCGCAAATCTCGCTGTCATTTATTCTGAATATTTCATTGTCCTCTTACTCACCATGGGGGATTGACTATTTGGCATTCCGTGATCCTGAACTCATTTATAATTAGTACGAAATTTACAGTGTGACAAGTACAAAATAGAACCGATTCACTTATCAGAAGAATAAATTACGCATACGCCGACCCATGCCTTGCCTGTCGTACAAAATATTAAATTTGTTAACAAACTGATTAATATCATTACAGCCTTTTGTTATTATTCCAAGGTACGTCATGAGGCCAAAATCGTTGCATTGCTGAAACGATGAAATTTTTGTTACTTATGGAATTATGGATCTAGTGAATTTGAATGTAGCGAATTATATTTCTGGTTTAAATACTTACGTTATAGAAATCGGCTCTGAACTTTGGGCTGTTCATTACAGGCAAGCGGTGTCCCAGAGAACATGCAGCCCTTAAGACTTCATGATTTCCTTTAAGTTCTCCACTTTGTACAGCCTGTACATATCTCAATACCAACTTCACTCGAGAGTGTAACATTTTAATAGCACTATGCTGTGCCATTAAATGTTCAGCTACTAGGGAACTTTCAACCTGGTCGTTACTGCACATTCGTGCTACATGATCTACTCCAATTCTTTCAGCTTCTTCAGTAGCTAATGTATATGTTAAAGGTACAAATAACATTGTTGCTTGTCCTCCCACTAAATCAATCACCGATTCATACATGGAAACAGGCAATTGCTGGAAAAAACATAAATGCTTAGATTTTGAGTTTCAAATTTCCTACGCTATACACTGAAACTAATACTACTCACATCAGAGTTTTTAGACCTTGGGTTTAACTTTAATAATACAGGACATTCATTAATTTCACAAAGTTGCTTGTGCACTCTGATATCCCTCTCGTTTGGCATATCACCAGTAGTGTACCAACCCAAAAAATCCATGTCACTAAATACTTGTTTAAACTGTTCTTCCTTGGTATTATAATAGTCTCTATCAATAATAACGTCATCCCCAATGCAAGTAAACAGAAGTTCAAAGGAATTCATGATTTCAATATTACGTCCCTTCTGTTTACCAATTAATGCACCGTACACTGTGGAATAACATTATATCCAATGAAATTACACACTTTGCATAAACTTTGACAGTGTTCAGGATAACACAAGAAAATAAAAGTGAACGTTATATATATATAGGACAAATAGACAAAAAGTATACCTAGCTGATCGGAACCTTCCTGGGCCCTTAGTCTAGTCCAGTGTTCACTAACGTTCATAATGACAAGTGGATGAAGGCTGATAGATACAGAGCCCACAGTACCGGATGAGGCCATAACACGAATGGCATTAGAACCGGAACCAATAGAAGTAGAAGTAGAAGTAGAAGTAGAAGTAGAAGGACCTCGTTCGTTTTGAGCTTGTGTAACCTCCATTGGAGCATCTGTCGAGACAGCATTATTGTCGTCAACCTCCATGTCGCTCGGCTGTTGTTTCGGTTCGCTCATTTTGTACAAAATCGTCGCAGTAGCTTTGTATGCTTTGTACTTCCTGTCAGGCCCAATAATAACCGACACAGTAGCCGGCAAATGAATTTCTTTTGCAGAACCAAACTTTCACTTGTTTCTTTGAGATCACAAAACACTGCACACCACTGGACATAGCTGCAATCGCTTTGGGTGCTTTCCAATTACTAAACTTCTGTCTATAGAATGTCTCGTTATTCGTTGGATCTAGCGGAATATTTTCCAGATGACCAATGATTTAGGTTTGTATCGACACAAGTTGGATAATTGAAAAGGATTTTTTATTGATCATAAAACTATATCTCGCTTATATTAATAGGGCATATTCTACACTTAATTACAATAACCTTCAATTACGTTACGCAATTTAAAATTATTATTTTCTTTATATTGTAATGGTTTACTTTTATGAACAACTGTGATAACGAAAAGAAAGAATGAAACTTTATAAAAGTGTCAGCGACAAAACTCAATATTAGAATATTTGTCAGTATATGAACGGGACTTAAGGCCATCTGTCGGATTTTACATGAAATGAATAAAATATCTGTACAGCACAGTGCTGGATTACCAATATTGTGGGCCCTTTTCGTTAAAATCTAGGGAAAACGATTTGTTTCATTGAAATATATCATTTTGTTGTCGCAGTTGGGATTTAATAATAGCTGTAAAAACATTTTGATTGCAGACTTTACTGTGTTAATTATGTTGACGAGCTGTTTTCCTAATGTTTTTGATCCTGCTTAGACAGCTGCTTCTTTGTAAGGAACTCGGTACAGCTCCGATTTTACTCACCACCATTCACGTCTCGCAGAAATGAAAATTATTTCTATGGTTGGTTTAAAGAATTTTTCTCTCCGTCAGACTGATACGTATACTCCATGTAATTTTAATACTATATTTATTGAATTAGTATATTTCCGGAATTCTTTATTCTACTTATCCGAATGTTCAAACTCATAGGAATAAAAACGGTCCATCATTTTGAGTAAGTAGTCCCTATGGTTACGACATTCATGAAACAAAATTTTTAGGTTAGTTGACCGTCGAAGCCTCATTGCTAATGTGCTCCATTTTATTTAATCTTTAATCGTTGTTTTTACAACGAATATTTATCGTGTATGTACAAATCTAACAGTTTGTGCAAATGTTTGTTCTGTTGACTATGTTCTTTTAACGTTTTATTGCAAGAAAATATTGGGATAAACATAAATTTTCGATAAACTGGATATAACGAATTAACCGAAATAATTCGAGAAGATAAATATTCTTCATGAATAAATTGAGAATATTATAGAATGAAAGAATTTAAATGATTAAGTGCATTTGAACATATTTTTTGTAATTCTACATATTTAAGACTATAATCTCTAATAATTCTCAAGCATGATTGAAAAAATATCGCAGTTATCTCAGTATAAAAAGATCCTGAGTGAGTTTCCACGCAGAATGAAATTTTGTTTTGCATATGGATCTGGTGCATTTAAACAGAAAATAGATCCATCTGAAAATATGTTGGATCTTATATTCGTTGTACGTAATCCAAATCAATGGCACGAAGAAAATATAAGTCGCAATCCTCATCATTATGCTCAACCACTGAGATTATTGGGTCCGAAGGTAATTACCAATTTACAAGAATTCTCTGGTGCTAATGTATACTACAATACATTGGTCAGGACGTATGAAGGAAGACTTATCAAGTATGGTGTAATTTCGGAGGTGTCTTTTGTGGAAGATTTATTTGACTGGAATTTCTTGTACTTAGCTGGAAGACTACATAAACCAGTACAAATTCTGGTTGAACCAGAAGAAAATTCTCAACTGAAAACAGCTTTAGTCCAAAATTTACATTCAGCGGTACACGCAGCACTGCTCCTTTTACCAGAACAATTTACAGAAATTGACTTCTACAAGACCGTTGCTAATTTATCTTACAATGGCGACTTCCGTATGATTTTTGGAGAAGATAAAGATAAAGTGAGCAATATCGTCAATCCTCAGCTTTCTGTCTTCCGTGAAATTTATGCCCCAATTTTGAAGCATTTTGATAACTATGTGGAAATTCCTCAAACTGAAGAAGCAGCCATCATGTGTCGACAAGATACCAGGCCTATCGCAAGGGTCCATCACTTAAATCATTTACCTCGAACACCTCAAGTGAAACTTGTGAGGATGTGGTCACAAGGACCGAGAACAAAAGATACTGAGGACTGCCTGCGCGCTATAGCTCACGACCCAGAATGCAGTGAGATATTAGAAAAAATTTTGCGAGAAATCGTCTGGAAGTCAAGCGTCTCCCAAAGTTTAAAAGGCATCCTTACAGCAGGTGTTGTAAAATCCATAAAATATAGTGCATTAAAAATCATGAAGATGATATCATCAAACAATGAACAGAAATCTTTACCAGTGTCAAACAAAGAGCCAAACAAAGTTGAGACGATGATTAAATCGGTTACAGAAAAACAAGAGGAACCTAAAGAAATGCAAAAACGTGTGGAACCTTAATAATTTTAAAAGATACAGTTGAATGTTCATTGTATTATTTGTAAAATTATATGTATAAGTCAATAAAAATATCTTCAAAGAAACAGAATTCATATTCATTATTTATTCAGAGTAGATATGTTTTATATCAGTCTACTCTGTAAAAATTACTATTGTTCCTTATTCTATGACTAAATTAATGGTTTCAGAATATAGGTAGATTATGACGACAATGGATTCAGACTCGGAGAGTCAGGACAGTGACGAAGGACGACGTTTTCGTTTCGAGGCGACCCGGAAGGACGCGACAATCGATCTGCACGCAAGGGAAAGAAACTCATCAGCAAGAAAATCGAATTCCAGTCGCAGATTACGGTCGCGAGATCGTAGCACCAGGGACAGGAGAGACTATGATAAATCTAAATACGAACGTGATCGAAGGGAACCAAAGTCCAGTGACGTCGGGCGACGAGCATCAAAGGATCCTGAAAGTAGCGAGAAACATGAGAAGGACTCTAAATGCTCAACAAAGTCTTATTCAAGAGATTTAAAGAATTCAAAGGAGAGTCATGATTCGAAAAATACAATTAACCGAGACAATAAGGATGGCAAAATTTCAAATAATCAGAAAGAGAGCAGAGACTCGAAGTCCAAATTTAGCGAAAAAGACGTAAAGAGTTTGAGTAATCGTGATAATAGAGATACGCGAAGTCGTGAATCCAAGGATTCTCGTGACCGTGATCGAGAAAAGCGTCGATCCCGTGAACGATCCAGAGAACGGAGTCATGATAGATCATCAAGTGAGAAATACAGTACACGAAATCGAGATAAGGTGAAACTCTATTCACGTGAGAGAAGTGGTGGATCTAACCAAATGAATAAAAACAAAGTAGGATCGGATCGTGAAAGGTTCCGAGAGGAATTTGATAAGAGTGATAAGACCGATCAAAAGCTGTATAAAAAAGAGAAAAAGGCTAAGAGTACTAAACAGGATATTTATCTGCAAAATAAAATACTTGATCAGATTGGCAGTGACAGTGAATCTGATTTGGGCGCATTGGACTCGGATGTGGGACCTATTTTATCCTTGGATAAGAAAAATAGCAAGGAATTAAATTTATCTGATTTTGATATTGTGTCAGATACTATAGAAAACTCTTCAGGCACTTCTGGTTCAGAAAATACTGCGGAAAGCTTTGCTATGAAAGGTACCTCTTTGTCTCATGAACCGCGTGTGAAGAAACGTGTTTCCAAGCATCAATATGAACGCCTATTGAAAAGGCAGGTTACTGCCAATAAGAGTCACTTGGAGAAAATACGAAAGGTAAATCCAAGGAATGGAGATCATTTGCCAGGTCCCAGTAATAATAATTCGAGTGCCCTTTCAGATTTCTTATTAGGTTCCGAGTTGGCTGCCTCAACCTCGACTTCTGCATTAACGGAAGATCGGATGAGTTACAAGAAAAAACGTAGAAAACATTCGAAAGACGAGGAATCCGCCATGTCAGAATCTGAACTGGAGGAGTTGTGTTTGACGTCCGTTGATAAAGAAGATGGCGATATTTATGGTCCAGCTCTGCCTCCGAAACTTTTTAAGTGTTTAAACAGGGAATCCCCTGAGGAACATGAAAGTGCAAATAAAGATTCACTTGTCATTAAAATGGACAACAATTCAATACAGAGACCCAAACCAAATGGGAGTCCAGAGAATTCAGAATCGACCAGAACCATTGTATCCTCTATATCGGGATCCATTGGTTCAGATGATTTAAATGATGAAGGGACTTGTGGACCAGTTTTACCTGGGACATCAATTAAAAAGGCAGAACCAGTATTACAGCCAGATCCATCTCGTATCATTGGACCAACTTTACCACCTTATCTTTCCAAATCAACTGAGGATGAAGATAATCTAGAAAGTTCGTTTGGGCCTGCACTACCACCACGTTTAATGCAGCAAAAAAAGGGTGACCCTGAGTTAGAAAATATTATAGGGCCGTGTTTACCAAATGGATCTGGATCTCTAGACGATGGAAATGCTATGGAGACTATAGAATCTGACTCTGAAGATGAAAATATGATGGGGCCACTTCCAGCAGATCATCCTGCAGCAACAAACAGTTACGTCCAACAACAATTAGAAAGACGAGCCAGACGAATCAAGGATGAATTCAGAGAGAAGGTGGGTACAGGTGTTTATATTGAGTAGTTGATATCATATTTTATTGAAGCAACATATATTTCTATTACAGGATAATGACCAAACAAAAAAACGAGAAGAGTGGATGATGGAGTTGCCACCAGCTCAAGCAGTAAACCTTGGTCTGGGTCCAAGGAAATTCAGGATACGACCAGGACCTGATATGTCTGACAGATCAAGCTGGACCGACACGCCTATGGATAAGGCTCGAAAACAAAGAGAGAAGGTTTGCCACTCTAGAAACAGAATAATCCATTGCATCCCGAGCATTTCAACCTATCACCGTTGTGTTGCTCATTGAAGGAGGAGGGAAAGTTGATGAATGCCGAAGAAGAGTCTGCCAAATTACGTGCTGTACACCGGGAAAAGGAGTCACGAGAACCTGAAAAATCCAAGTCTAAAAGACGTCAGCAATCTCTTTTGGAAATGCATCAGAAGAAGCTTCACAAGAAAAAGAAAGTAAGTCTTTTTAGTTATTTCAAGTGGATACTAGTAATAGTGCGATTAACTTCAAAGTTTAAGATTTTTTTCTGTATTATTAATAGAAGGAAGATAAAAAAGCAAAGGAGGCCGGAAAACCAATGAGACGACCATTCGATCGTGATATCGATTTACAAGCAAATCAGCTAGACGAGGCGCGTAAGAAATCAATCTTTATGAAAGCAAGATTGCTGGATGATAGATTTTCACGCGGTGGAATCTAGCGTTTTGTACTGATGAACTTTCAATGTTGCGGCTCATTTCTACGGCATATAAGAAAGAGATGGGAAATGCTGCAAGAAATTATATATATATAAAACGGGGATAATTGGAGCCCGTTATTATTGCGACTATTACAATAGTAGCGAGGTGCCTTAGACTCTAAAAATCAGTAAATTCTTTATTGTCATTTTCTCATTTCAAAAGACCTGAATTATATATCACGAAAATGAACAAAAGATATTCGAAATATCTTTATACACTCTACTGCATAATAGTGAATTTTACAATATGTGCATTGTACATTACTTGCCAATGACTACGTTTCGTGGATTTTTGTCACTGTCACAATTTACAAAACTTCGCTTTCGCCGACTTTAAATCCATAAGGTCAATCAGTTATTGTAAGACATTTCTTAATTTTCCTTATTATGTAAATAACTTATATATGTAATGTCCATTAGAATGCTTCACTGAAAGAAATCTTTTGTCCAGTAAGTGTCAGTGAATATTGTCGGTTACTGCTTGAATTACAATCTTGTCCATCGTATTTTATACTGTACTATTAAATACTGACACAGAAATATAAGCTGTCTAAAAAAGTCTCAAAGTCTGAAGGGAAACAGGAAGATGGAATTTCTGAAGCATCTCTTTCACGTAACCAATGATTCATAAATGCAAAACTATTGTCCATCAGTGTACTATAAAAAAACATCACAATGGGATGTCACTGTACAACTATTATAAACGATTTGACAATTTTTACACGTCTGAATTCGCATATTTAAAACTCCACCCAAATATATTAAGTTTCTTTATTGTCGTTTTCTAACACAACTCTAATGAGCTATTCCGACACTTATCTTGAAAATATTTGGTTTTGATAAATTTGAAATTTCCGCCAACTAAGGTAATGGCTGACACAGATCAATGCGACATCTGGTACAGCGGCTATCTGCTTGATTTCCGCAACAAAACGGAAAAACATTGTCTGGTGTATTTGTTACATTAAAAAAACTTATGAACGAACGTCGGATCATCGCCTACACGTATTATCCTCAAGTAACAGCAAGACCCTGGATTCTGACTTGCTTTCAATACTACTTTACGTAAGACATCAAATTTCTTTTCGAGTAATTGCGCCGCGTGTGACAGTCTGTCAGTCCCTCCCAATTAACAATCGTGACTACATATGCAATCTTTGAGACCATCTTGCATCCAAAAAATTAGTTGTTCAAGTTTTCCTATTTATTGGAAAATTAACATTGTTCTTTACCTACTTTAAGGTTCTATTCATCCTGCGAAGCAAAGTGAATCACTTTTATCTGTTCGCAGTAACCTAACTTGCTGTCAAACGTAATAATGATTGTCCGTCATTGAAAACGTGATCGTATGTATGCGTATGTGGATATGTACACAAGATTTATGTATAATCGTACGTACATATATAGTGTGTAAATTATGCCTGCGTAGTCGGGGAGATGTTAAGAGAAAAGTTAAAAATTTAGTGTGTATTGTAACATCGAGTGTAGGTCGAGTGCATGTTACTCCCTATCAGGTGACTTATGTACCACAAACTTGGTCCACATGCTTTGATCAACGAATTCATGATTGTCGTGTGACCTAGTGACCAGTAATCATAGGTAAATTGAATCCTGTGGGTAATTTTTATTTTTACAAGAAAAAGCTGGCGGTGGCCTATTAGAGTAAAGAGGAATGGTTGGTACTCTGAAACAGGAAATTGTATTGGTGTTGGAGAGTGAATTTGAAGGAAGCGTTTATTGTTTAAACGGCGGATTTGCATTAACCTTTGAGAAAATGTAATGTATACTGGCTGGGCACTATTCAATGAACCAAAAATAATAATGGATAATAGTATTTACATAATCTTTTAACAACTTTCAAATTCAAATATTTTCTTTTTAATACATAGTTGTTTCAATTGTGTTATATGACTTGATGCGTATTTTATTAGTTTTTGAGTTGATAATTTGTTTTAGATGAGTGATTTTGGTTTTTCTTTATTAGTTTACTGAGTATTCAGAAATGGTACTCATTAACTAATATTTAGATGCTTTTGATGCTTGGTATTACATATACTTACATGTATCAGGTTGAAAAATAGCTCTCTTATCAGTAAATGCTTATATGACAGTTTTATTAAGTGGTAGTAGGATGTGATAGGTTCTGATTACTGGTCATCTTAAATATAGTAAGATGAAATGGTACTGTTACAGGAGTGGCATTTTTTCTTTATGGAAAGAATAGTGACATCAGCTGTAAAGTAAAGCTCCTAGTATGGTAATGATTCATCCGTGGGAGATACGTATCAAGACCTAAGCAAGCAATCTACAGGAAGACAGGCTTTAATAAAATATTCAGAAATGCCTCAGTCTTGGTTAACTCACAGAATTCAAATATGGCTCTTGTTTTTAACAATATGCATTGCCTATGGTGCAGCAGATGTTCTGGTGTATTCAGCAACTACTGAGCCTAAGATTTTACATGCATTTAAAGACATGCCATCTAAATTTGGTGCTCCAATAACATCGGTGGGAATAAAGGTAATTCAGTGTTTCTGAAATTGCTATATCTCATATTGTAATGGCAAGCGTATTCAACAAGAATTTAAATGATTAAAGTTAAGGTTATATATTGATTTCGATGATATTGTTCGTAATCTTATATTGGCAACTTGATATAATTTCATGTTTACATATTATATTATCATAATGAATATATACGAGTAAATAGCTTATATCAATAGATGGAAACACCTGTTTTTTGCTAGGGATCTCAGCAAAATTTCTCCATTGTCAATGCTCTTTCATTAAATGTATTGAATCATTTTTCATTTGTTTACCACATATTAGCTTTAGCAAAAAATCATTGGTAGTGCAATATTTTGTTGTGAGCTTTGAATTTTCCCATCTGTCACTTTAAACTATTTTGCTTGCAGATTTACTACATATACATGAAAGATTAATTTCGTTAAAAACTACCACGTTTTAAATACGTAAATGTACTACATGTATAAAGAACTTTTTACTACAATCACTTAATGATTCTGAATTTTTACTTCACTGTGTATAGGGTTTGGTCGTGTATGCTGATCCACCCACAGCCTGTAATGAAACAAAACCTCCACCGAATGACACTGGCTATAATGACAATTGGATTTTGCTTATTGCGCGATTTAATTGCACCTTTGAGAGAAAGGTTCGTATGGCACAGCAGGCTGGTTACGATGCAGTAATAGTGCACAATGTTAATAGCGACGAATTAGGTAATAATTTATAATCTGTGTCTAAACTAAAAAGGCTTATGCAGAAAAGTGAAATATTTTGAATGGTGGTACAATTACTTTTACAGAAACAATGTCAGCAGAAGACGCTTTGGATATTGTGATACCTTCAGTCTTTATTTCTGAAACCGTGGGATTTAAAATTAGGGATCAATACCTCTATAATGAACAACACTTCATAGTGATCAACGATGATTTACCGTTCAACATAAATACACATTTACTGTTGCCGTTTGTTGTCGTCGTTGGACTTTGTTTTCTAATTATGGTTGTTTTCATGGTAAGATACTCATTCAGTTCCTATAATCCAACTGCTGTTAACCAGTAATCTATTTGCAGGTAGTACGATGGATAAAGGACAGAAGAAGACAACGTAGACACATACTGCCAAATTCAAGTTTAAAAAAAATTCCAACGCACAAATATACAAAAGGTGATCCATACGAGACATGTGCCATCTGCTTAGACGATTACGCGGAAGGCGAAAAATTGAGAGTCCTGCCTTGTGCACACGGTAAATTAAAATGAATCCACAATAATAAAATAACTGCGCATATCTATTTCTCCTTCTTTTACTATAGCTTACCACAGCAAGTGTATAGATCCGTGGCTCACAAAGAACAGACGTGTCTGTCCTGTATGCAAGCGGAAAGTCTTTGCGGCTGATGAGCACGTCAGCGATAGTGAGAGTGACACCGACGCTGACGACTCGACGCCATTAATACGTGATGGTCATCCAGGTATCTCCATTCGTTAACCCTGTCACGTAAAGCTCTTTTTTTTTAAATATAATATATCGGGATTTCCTTATTCGTTCTTTATAGGTACACAAGGAGGCACATTCACTCCGCAAAGAGAGAATCCATTTTCCAGAGCAAGAAGAATGCTTGAGAGAAATGATTCCAGTTCCTCTAGCAGTGGTTCCGAAGCAGATATATTTGTGGATTCTAATGACGATAGGGTGAATGAGAACAACGGTGATTCGTCCGGTACGACCCCCTTCGTGGTATCAGACAGTCACAGCATTAACGGTGAGTAATTCAATTTGCAAAGTAACAATAAGTAGCCAGTATTCATTATTATCATAAGTCACAGTGTGAAGACTGTGTTACTAATTTTTCATATCCTCGTCGATAAGGGTGCATATGACAGAACAAACAATTAGCAAATTAATAATTAATATCATTAAACCTAATTATACAAGATATGAAATGTCCACTAGCAATTGCTCGAGTCTCATTCTAAAGCGGAAATACCAAAACTAAAATCTAGGTGAACCACCGGCCATGGAGCGTTCGACGAGCAGAACCAATACAGAGACGTGGGCGTTACCTGCGGGCACCGAAGAGTTAGCGGCGTCGCTCGTACAAATGACGCCGACGCGGAATCCCCGGATACTGGTGAATCCGGTAGCACCGAATTCCGGTCATCCCATAATGGTACCGGCCAATCCTTTGCCGATACCAACAATACTTCCGGCGGATCACGAGAGGAATGATTTCATTGCGTAATCAGGCTAAGGGTAACGTTCGTTCGGCTCCCTCACTTTCTATTTCATGTGGATTGCCTGAAGTGTCTAAAATTGAGGAAGGATGGATTCTACTTTGCATACCAATAAACGAAGACGAAGAAGAGGAAAAAGAAGGAAAGTCAAATATACAAAAAAGTACGAAAATAACAGACACGTCGTTTAATAATCATTTTCGTAAGGGTATTCTCACAATTTTTTTTCCTCACTATTTCGTGAGCTTTGCGCAACTCGTGGGTTGTTTCTCAAGGTGTTGTGCGACACTGTAATTTTTAGAATATCGACGTTCCTTTAACGCGACCGCTTCGAGAGTCCATAGATACATATCAGCCTCTTTTCTTGTATCTTTCGTTTACGTCAATACGATCTCAAGAAATTAATGTCACGCTCATCTATCAATAGCATTCCTCGCAGCGTCGCATTTATTGGTCGCCATTAAAAACTTATAAAAATATAAACGTCATCGTCGAGATAGAGTATCAGCACTTTGTTTTTTTCATTAAAACAGTAACAAAATAATGATAATGCATTACGAACAAGATCAATGGTATGTGTCAAAGCGACTGACTCAAGGCGGACGCATATTTTCCTAATAGTATTTATACGCGCTCGAGAAAGGCATTATTATCTTGTTCTTTTTGTTTCTCTTGTTCTTCGCTCGCGGAATAAAATTCAGCTGTGTTCATAGATATACTAATTGTAATCAGGTACCGGTTTGACGCGAGTTACGATGTCCTTAAAATTATCCTCAATGGAAGTCCACTTAAATGTCGTTAAGGTAAATGGCGTCTCCAAGGGTCCACGAGATTCCTTTGTATCCAGCATCGCGTGGCATCGATCGATCGGTATAACTATTTCGAGCGGTTTCTCATTGACATTCGCAGAGCCAGATTACCTACACGTGTATTATTCGTCCGAGTTAACCAGAAATTATACACCCATCATCCCTACCTCGCTCCGGGGGGGAGCGACCCCTTGACATCGCGACAGCCGCCCACTTTCGATCCCTTAAAATAGAAAATTGGAATATGTATTATAACTAAGGTTTAACGGCGAATACACGACGAGACTGAGAGAAGTTGTAAAGAAAAAGAGAAAAAGAAAGAAAAAAAAATTAACACAGGGAGCTGAAAAATTGACGAACTACAACGGTATCATAAAACACTGTATAATTGATGACTTGTTTGGCACCGTATATCGGCCTCGCAGGACTACGTCACACTGTAAATATTATTGATATACGCTATATGAAAATTATGAGAGAAAAATATACTACGAAAAAGAAAGAAGGAGGAATAAGTAACGAGACACGAGTTAACCGAAAGGCAAAAGACGTAAGGATATACATATATTTCAATGCAGGACATAGAATAGAAAGAAAAAGGTTTAACGAGCGACGGTGCGATAAATTTTCGTGTATAATTGTGAAACGTGCAACATCAATATTATTGTCATTGTTATTATTACAATTATTATTATTACAATTATTATTATTATTATTATTATTATTATTATTATTATTATTATTGCTACTAATACTTTATTATTACTTTATTATTAATGCCGATTATTCATTATTTTCCAGAAATTAACCTTTCATCAAGTTGAGTCTCTTTAGAGTTTAGGATCTTTGCTATTGCGAATCATTGATGGAATACGTTTTATTGTATAACGCTAAAAAAAAATTCTTTTGTAACGAGCGGAAGTGCTAAGTCAGAGGATTACGAGGGACACGATTATAAGGACGTTCCTTTAATTTTTATTTGTTATAACGAACATGGGATACGTCAAGCGATTGCATCGTGACACGTATGCCGTACATGGTTTCGACTAATCAAATTGAAATGGACGGACGCTTGAGAGTGTCGTTGAAACGAAGTTTTTAGAACGTACAAATACGAGGAGGAGGTTCGACGAAGAAATTGTAATGATTTGTTTTTGTAAATTGAGCTTAGGAATAAATATCGTGCGTGATAGATTATTATTTTTTTTTAATTTATACTCGTGCCTCTCTTTACGTCATACGGGAGGCCATCGTCGGGCCGCGTTAACACGAGATTCGTTACATCATTTTGCAGGAACTAGTCCGATATGTGAATTATTGAATTTATCCTTTTTTTTTTTAAACCAACCGGCAGTGCTACTTTTTCTTTGTCGTATTACTTACTGGGTAACCGACATATTAAAGTTTAGGCGAGCCGTGCGATATTTTAAAATGGAGAACAATAAGAATATAACGCTGTATAAAAACCATGTAAATACTGAACGCGATGACGACGTTTTGTGCTGTGTAATGTACAGTTAAATGGAGAGAAGGAAAATTAAAGAAAAAAATATGATTGAAGGTGAAGAAATTTAATCTTCATCCGATCATCACGAATGTCCGAGTCACAACAATGGTACCCGCTGGTACTGCTGTTACATAGTATACATACATATAAGTATATGCAATCGTCGTTACCTTATGATATGTCGCATAGAGCCTTACTTTATTATATATATCTAATAAAAAGAAATATTGTATTTATATTTTTTATTTCGTCAGCTATCAAGAATATATGTATACGTTCATTTTCTATAAGCTTGTTCGTCATTAACGAAGAAGTCTATATACGAAAAAATCGAACATGGGGTATAATTTGAAAAAAAAAAATGATACCACCCGCATCCCATTCCAGCCCCCTTTGGCCTAGCTTGTAATCCAAATTAATCGGTGACGTCACTTCGTCCTTCTGTCACCCTTCGCTCAGATCCCTCCTCCTCCCTCTATCTCTCTCTCCTCTCTCTCTCTCTCTCTCTCAAGATCGCAGCCAAACTCTGGCGACGATATAATTTACGGAAAAGCCTCTCGACGCCTGCGTAGAAACAAACTTTTTTCCTTCTTTTTTTTACATCTCCCTCTTTCTTCCTACAACCGCAGAAGAATCGTCGGCACGACGATTATCCATGCGATATGTCGTGCGCAGACTAAACCCACGGGACCCTAACGTATCCCTGGACACGTTAAACTCTCCCGCATTTCTACGTTCATTTTTATCTTGTCACCAAGAACACGAAGGAGCGAGCCATTCTCCATGGCGTACGCAAACTAGATCAATACGAACGGACGCGCATTTATCGGCAATGGTCTCTCTCTCTCTCTCTCTCTCTCTCTCTCTCTCTCTCTCTCTCTCTCTTTCATTTTTTTCATTTTATTATTTTCTTTCCAGCTCCTATCTCACCTATTCGCTGATTAAGCGTCGATAGACGAGTACAGTAACCGCCGTACCAAATCTCGACCAATTAACAGTGCATTCCCCATATACCCATGCATACAGCAATACGCCTGCTGCGTGATTGAAAATCCACGTTGCGTCACTCAACGTGTTCTTCGCTGCATTGTCACAAGTAATTGTCATTTTTAATTGACATAAACGCGCAGATACCGGTTTACTTCATGTGAAATGTGTTACCAGAGTGCGCTGCCTAAACATCGTCAGCAGGATCCAAGGACAACAATTGTACAAAGAGAAGGACCCAAGGAACCTATCCAGGACGAGATTGTCGACGGAACCCGTACCTTGTTACGTGATCCTTCGTTATGGTTACCGTACCTCGCACAACCTGGTGCCTTACGAAACCGCCAATGATGATAATTATTACGAGGGAGAACGTCCTGAGGATGCACGATAATCCTTTTCCTTTTATTACTTTTTTAATATTATTTTTTATTAATTGTTCCTTTATCCCTTCCTCATCATTTTCTATGTCCATCCTTTGCTCTCTCTTTCTTTCTCTTTTCAGACGTTACGCGTCCGACCAGCATTGTCACCGTGATCACGCTTAAGAGTCCTCGACGAAGGTTGTCGTCGTTTCCTCGCTTCCTGGAGGAAAACCTCTCAGCCTCGTACACGTTTACTGGCTCTACTCTGCCATAAAAGCTGTAGGGCTGGTTAAGCGTGGTTTTATGAGATACCGATACACGCCTCTCGATCTAGCTAATCGTTATGTTTATTAAGGAACACGCACTCGGTTCACCATATATATATACACACGTATGAAGTAGATAAATCATAAGCATGTCACAGAATCAGATTTTTGTACCGTACCAACGTGTAAGATCAGTTGTACGAGCATTGGGATTTATGTTATTAGGATATTTTAATGAAGTCGTTTAAATATTATTTATCTACATAAATAAGGTCGAGATCTATCCGAGTATCTGGACTAATACTTACCTTCGTTAGTCTTCTAGTACCGTATTGGTGTATTATAGTATTACAGTATATTATGTATAGTATGTAGAGCATAGAGTTATTGAGTGTATATATCCAGTACATGCTGTGTATGGTGCATGTGGAAAGGATCCTACTGGGTGAGAGGGGGTGCCGTTCCTGTTGCCGTGGCGAGTGGGCGCACGTGACGGTACAATGCCGCTCCAACTACCACCCTTGCTACCCGCAAGCCCCCAGCATCGCCATCCCCTAGAATCCCTTGGCACGAAGACTCACCCTCGACCCTCGGTATCCTCCCTCGGCACCTTCACCATCGCAGCAACCCCAATTCAGCATCCCACTATGCCTCCCAATGGACCAACCGGGCGAGTCCGAGCAACTGGCTTCGCTGGATACGTGCAATTGAAATCATTGCCACTGTATGACAGTTGAATTTTGATATCAACCAGTCTTATTATTTAGCATTCAGAAGTTAGTAGAGACGCAATCAAGTATCGTGTTTAGGGTATTAGTGCACCGGGGTCGTTTGGATTGGTGTTTCTTGGTGAGAGAAAAATTCAAGGTCTCTATTATGTCTGTCTGGGGACTGGATGAAATGACTTACTAATTGGACGGGGTTAGTTGGTTTTTGCAACTGATGACCTCCTCTCGGCTAACTACCCTCTTTTGCTCGCTCGGATTTCACCGGTGTGTATAGAGTGCCTCGATAGCGCACGTATTACCGCGCGCTTCATCCATTTTTTTTTTCTCTACTCGGAGATCCATCGAGTACTCCTCTTTGTGCACTTGGGGGTTATGTCGTAATTTTATTTTATTTTTCGCAGGGTCACGTGGTTTATTTACTGCCGAACGGGTTAGTAGGGGTGAATTTTTTTCGTAGGGGTTGGCTTTCGGAGAATGACCGCCGACGGTGATAGTTCCGACCAATACTCCTCGTTAGGAATCGTCCGACAGCGATAAACAAGTTTATCAAGTGTCGTTGACCATGAATGACGCGTGTCGTTACAGTACGTTAAAAAAAGCAACCGAGTCTGCTGTCTAGGTGGTCTATAGCTTCGTTTTACTAGGGTCGTATTATCGATGTCGGTAGATAATAGTTATACGGACTGTACAGGAGGTAGACATGGTTTTTCTCCAATTCTCTAGTTAGAACCCGACGACACAGCGGTAAAAAAAAAGCTTATCGAGCGGAATTCAGTACGAGCCATTATAATACGGTGAGATCGCCACTTTAAAAGGAAGAGGATCGCCCGAGAGGAAGAGCTAGAGGCAAGTCTAACGGGGTGGGGTACGCGGGGTACAGAAAGTAGGGGGAGTTCGCTATAGAGAGAAGCGACTTTGCCAGCTCTGGTCATCGACTTGTAGTTCCTGGGGGGTGGTCGGCGCGACGCTGATTTCGAGCCAGCGTCGTTGTCGTCGAGTCTCCGACGCAGCGGCCCAACCGACGTCGAAATTAGGAGCAAGGACAAGCCTCCTGGAGTGGATCTTTTTGTTAGAGGAGTAGCACAGCCACCACCGCCTACCTAACCCTGGTCCGGGTCCCTCGTGAAAAGGACGCGAGGGGCTCGCGTATTCTATTTATACGGTGACGTAGTGCCTACGAACGGGGCCCTACGTCGTAGTTCGAAATAATTTGTCGTCCTGGGTCATTCTGGCTTATCGGATGTAATTCGGCAAAGGACGTTATCGCGGTGTAGGACCAATATGAAAACAAGTGGCAGGGATCGTTTGAGGACGGGGGAGGTGAGATGACGGCTCCTCTGGCGGTAGTACTTGTCAGAGGGTAGGGTTGGGTCTGTAGAGGGTTGTTCTTGGGCGCCTTGGCAAGAGGGCAGATAGGCAGACAGGCAGGCCGCGTGACTAACCCGCTGCCGCAGCTGGTCGCGAAATTATCGATTCGCGAAAATTTCCCTTCGCCCTGGTCATGCGCACCTCATTTCCACCCCGAAAATGGCCGCACGCACCGCCGAGAGGGTGTGGGATCTAGTTCGAAACGCAGCCGCTACGTGGCGCTGCTAGTCGAGCCACGGCGGCTGCGCTCGGAACGCGCGAATCTAGCGGCTGGGGTAGGTTTGAATTTTCGTTTGATACCGATGAACTGCCATCCCTCTCAGCTGGTAGCGAGATGCCTCTGGCGGTAAATTGCAAAGGCAGCTGTTTCCGTGTCCCGATGCGGCCCTCCTCATTCACGGAATTATTACACTTGAAAAATGTCGACGTGCACACTCTACCCCTTGTCTAACCTCAATCACGGATTTCGTGAGAATCTTATAATCTCGACAATTCAGCTTGATCGAGAATTTACAAGAGACACAAATATTCTAGAAATCTCAACGACCTCGCATTCGCCTCGTGTTCGTTTGATGATTTTATCAATTTTCTATATCGATAATCGTCCAACGTCTGTATTTCAAGAAACAGACCAATCATCGTCAATACTGACTACGAAGATCCATATATCGTTATATCATCAAATTTCCCTACTGTATTCAATTTTTAAATCTCTAATGTTTCCTAGTCACTCGTACGACTTCATCGATCCTGATCAATGATCGATAAACCTATCGGAGAGCACTAATAGATCGTTTCTAAATCCCCAAAAATTCGCGAATCCATAACGTCCCAAGGGATCGTAGAGTTAGGCCGATTTTTCCTCCACCTTTTTTTTCCCTCAACTCTTCTCGGGCGTCGCGAATCGCAGTAGGAGAAGAGTGTGAGTGGGTCGCAGCGTAGTGGGAGAAACCATGGGTGAGTATAAGGGGTGTTGGGTGTAGGGCAGAAACGCTGGGGATGAGGCGTCGGGTTCATGTCGGGTTGCCCGGCCGGGGAGCGGCAAAAACGAAGATGGCGGACCTCGCGACGCCCGTCCTCCACTGACGGTACGAAGAACGACCGGCTAAACGCGAAACCTGCGAAATCCCGCGAATTCGACGTTAATCCGTGTCCATCGAAGTCGACGTCGCGAACGCTGCTGTTTCCCCGTATAACGCAGGTCCCGGTTATTAGTAAGGTGCGCGAAACCGATCCGCCCCTGGAAACACGACGGACGGACAAGAGAAGGAAGAAGATAATTCTGATCTCGGTGAAAGCGACGCACGAGAACGAGTACCCTGTGCTAATTCTAAGACCACCCGTGTCCCAGTGTAAGGTTGTCCAGTGCTTTAGTTAAATAGATCTTCGAGCGAGTGACTCCTTTAAAGCCCGTTTCATTATCCCACGGGAGACAGCCACGCAGGAGTGTCGGCTAAGGTGCGCGGGGGTATATCCACGTCGAAGGAGCCCGGGGTGGATCGCCATTATTTTGCGGAATCTCGGAGGCCCGCGACGCCCTTACGTCGGAGAGGATTCGACGTCGACAGGACAATTCGTCACAGCGAATATTCCTAATCGTCACAGTCCTCCTCGTCGTCAAGGGGTTGTTCATTGGTGTCGTTGTCGTCGTTGTCGTCGCGGGGTAACCCATACGTGTTTCCTCCTTGGGTCGCTGCTTCCCCCAGGAGGTCATCTCTGCTTTTTGGCCCATATCGGTAACCGTCAGGATTCTCTCTGTGATACTTGAGAAGGCCGAGGGATACGCGGGGATCAGTGCTCGTAAACGTGAGACTCGGATGTGTCCTGGATCCCGTCCGGCCCAATTTCTCTCTGCTTCGTTCAGGAGATACTTTCAAGGAGGTTATGGTTACGTCTTGTGAAGAGTCCTTTATTATCGTGATGTGCGGTGCGTTTAATTGGTGAGATCGACTGTGAAGAAGGACGCGCTGTGGCAGTCCCTCCTCGAGGTGAAGGTGAAGAGAAGGATTAGGAAGGAGGTGACGGAGGTGACGGAGGTGGGTTTTTATCGTAACTAAAATATCAACGAGGGAGCTGCGGGATCAGTAAAGGCGAAACAAAGGCGACCCTGTTTCCCTTGTGCTTAACGTGAGTGAGAATTCGTAACCTAAACTAGAGGAAGGAATAGAGAAGAAAGGACACGGGGAGACGGAGAGAGCGCATGAGAGGACAAGAGTGACAGAGAGAGAGAGAGAGAGAGAGAGAGAGAGAGAGAGAGAGGGTGTGTAAGAGAGAGAGAGAGAGGGTGTGTAAGAGAGAGAGAGAGAGAGAGAGAGAGAGAGAGAGAGAGAGAGAGAGAGAGAGAGAGAGCGTAGGAGTGGGTGGGGACAGAGAGAGAGAGAGAGGGAGAGAATCAGTGTGTACTTGTCGCGTAGGTGTGTGTGCGTGGGACCTGTGTACCTAATACCGTGTGTACGTCTCTAGGAGAAAGATAGAAAGAATCCTGAACGAAGGACAGCGATCGCACGAAGATCCATCCACTTGGATAGATAAAGAGCATCGTAGTAAAGCGAAGGAGACTCAAAGAGGAGAATAGGAGACGAGAAGTGATCAGCGAGGAGGAGGAAGCTGGTAAAGAAGGAGGGTGGAGTAGGAGCGGCGGAAAGAGAGAAGGGAAAAAGGAGACGAAGCTAGAGAGAAGAAAGAGAGGAAGAAAAGGAAGCGAAGGAAGTGAAGTAAGAGGCAGTGAGGTCCTGGTGGTTCGGCGGTGGCAGCGGCGGCGGCAGCGGCAGCTACGGTGGTGGCGGCGGTGGCAGCGGCATTGCAGCTGCTGGTAGTGGTGGTAGCAGTGGCGGCGGCGGCGTCAGCGGCGTCGGTGACGGCGGGGTGTGTCCATGGAGATTTGAGGCCGAGCTGCTGCTGCTGCTGCCCCTCGTAATCGCGCGCGTCGCTCATCTCTGGCTACAATCGGAAGTCCGGAGACGAGGGTGCCGCGAGTTCAGAATGCAGCATGAACCTCGGTGTCCTGTCGTGGGAGCTTGCGAGCCTCGTGTACGGGGGGAGTGCCTACGTGAGAAAGGAGGTGTCTACCTTGCCGAGGAGAAGGCTCAGGGGTTCGACCCTTTGTCACGCGAGAACTGTCACCGGGAAGTGGCGCGCGGGCAGGACTCCGAGGACAAGGTGGCGCAGGAGCATCGCCAGAGGAGTTTGCGACACGCGAGGAGACTCCTGGCTCAGGGGAACTTCTAAGGGCCCCGCTATCCCGGGACGCTCAGGCAGGTTCGGGGCCTCCTGGCCCGGGACACGGACGAGCGGGGCTGACTCCCTCGTGGAAGGACCCGGCTCCGGTTGCCGATTCAGCAGCCGAGCACGAGCCGGTACTTGGCCATTCCGGGACTTTGGGAAGCCACGTGCTCCTACGGCCAGTACCCGCGCTACCGATTGCTCCAGCTCGTTGTCCAATCCAGGAAGACCCTGCGCCTCTCCTAAATACATCGATCTACGCGTTACCCTCGCCGGACCAGCACCGGCTGTCCGATTCCTTTCGACTGGCGCGGAGATCATCCTGGCCGCGAATAATCTCGTTTCACGGTTACCACCTGGGAAGCGGGAAGAGTCCTGGGGAACGGGGCAGGAGTCAACGGAGGAACGCGAGAAACTCGTGCAAAGTGTCATCGTGTTACGATCGGCCAAACATAACCTCTCTGCGAGTTCAACGAGCTCAGGAAATCCAGAGTCGCAGGAAGAAGCGGCGTCGTTCGCGTTCAAAGTGTCCAGCCGGTTTCAAAAAGCAGGATCACCCTGGCGTTTCGTGTGTATTGAACGCCAAGAGGAGCTGTTCGAAAAGAGTACAAGGAGGATCGAGAGGAGGTGGAGGGAGGATCTTGGGGTGCACTCGTGCCGAAGGAGAAGCTGGTTTCAGGGGCGTACGCGCGAGGCGAACGGTGGGCTCAGGCCTTCGTGGCAGCGATGCAGGGCCCCCTGCAGCCCGGCGTACGCGATCGCAAAACGCACTCGCATCTCATTTTCAAAACCGATCTCGAAATCGATTTGCCGTATCGTCGTTGTCGTCGGGTCGGCGTCGACGAGAAAATCATCACCGTCAGCGGCACCGTTGTCGTTGCTGCTACTGTCACTGCTGTTACTACTACTGTTGCTACTATTGCTCCTGTTGCCGCCGTCATCGACACCGCCAGTATCGTTGTCGTCGTCGTCGTCATTATCGCCACGTCGGAAACGTCGTCGCCAACCGGGAAGGGAAGTCGTTCCGTTCGATCGTCGCCGTCGTCGCGAAGGAGCGTCAACGTGGGGACGCTAGAGTCCCCGATTTCGTGCTCATGCGACTCGACCCGCCCACCTCCACGGGACCACCCAAAACAAAAAGGAAGCGAGCTTATCGTCAGCCTTCAGCACCACTATGCTCACTGTCATCTCCATTGCTATCGTCATCCACATCATCCTCATTCTACCTCGAGGACGCTTCCTGCAATCCGTACCTCTCCTACTCACGTGGTATCACTATCGATAATACCCTCACCCCGGAGAACCCTACCACCACCAGCGCCACCATCAGCATCGTCGCACCCCGTGCCAGCGACACTCGCTTCGACATCGCCACCAGCAGCGTCTCTACCGACTGTTCCACAGTCAGCCAAGATGGAGTCCATCAACCAGAGGACGAACCTAAGACTACCACTGCCTTTTATGTTACTTCCGTTTCTACTTCATCTAACCTGCCGGGATTCAACGTACGTAAGAGAAGAAGTCAGGAACCTAACTTTACCCCACGTCCGGCCATTCCAGCTGGCCAATCGCTTATATGCAACACGTGTCATGCCGATCACAGCTCAACGCCAGGATTGTACCCACGGAAAAGGAAGTCTTGCTACCAACGACGAGGCTTTACTATCACCGGAAGTAGCGCCAGCTCGCACCGGATCAGTCGGAAGATTTCCGCTCTCCCAAAGACGAACCTCGTCTCCTCGAGTCGGAGCCTTCCTTCTCACGATGACCTTGTTTACACTGCCTTTAATCATCAGCACCGTGTCGACGACGACGACGACGACGACGACGACGACGGCGACGACGAAGACGAGAAAGGGGAAGACGATGGGGATCGCGAGGACGAGGACGAAAATGAGATGGAGAACTGTCGACAAGGTTATGACGAAGTTGATTATGACAATATGGAGTATTCCTGCTCGTGTCTCCTTCCCTACCGCGTGGAGAAGCCTGAGGAATCCAGGTGGCAGAAGAGAACGAAGCTGGAGACGACGAAGATGGAGGCGAAGACGATGGAAGCCAGACCGGAGAGATCATCTTCCTCAGGGAACGATACTCCGCACGAGACGACCACGTGCGTTGATGTGCCCGGTGGTAAATTCTATAATTCCATTGGATACGCGTCTAAAATTTTATCACCTGGTTATCACGATAACCTCCAGGATGACGAGGAAGAGTGTGTGCATTTTAGTACGGAGGAACCTCCACGATATCATGATCGTCATCATCGTCGTCGCTGTCGCTCTCGTCACAAGGACAGCACCGACTTCGACGAGGTCTCTCCTGAAGAGAACATCGTCGCGACGAAGGAGAACGATTACACTGCCCGGTTGGCGAAGTCGATCGTCAGGAAGAGGGAACGCAGAAGGTCACAGATGTACGGGGAGGGTACAGGGAAGTCAAGAAAAAAGTTACGAAGCGATCGACCCGGTAGGAGATGTTACGGTCTTCTTCTGGTGCTGTACCTCCTGGCCCTGCCCATTCTCTGCGCGACGAACCCCTCGGCCCAGGTCGCCTCAGGATTCGCACAAAAGCAGCCGCCCCTCACCCACAGTCAGAATTTCACCCAGCGCAACTCGTCCGTATACTCTCAGCCAGCCGATGAGGAAGTGCAAGCGGAGTATCTTCAGCAGAAGAAGCTGGTGGAGCAGGAAGTGTATGAAGAGGAAGATGCTAGTACGAACATGCGGGGTCTTCCGGCATCAGGAGTGCACCCTTACAACGAATACACCTGGGAGGTCAATCAGATAAACCCTTGGCTGTCGGCCTGCGACCTGGCGGGACCAGCGCCGGCCGACCTTCAGGGTAGCTGCGGTCCCCCGGAAGTGCCCAAGGTCTGTCCGATGCTCTGCGAGGTATCGTCGCGGGGCGACGTCTTCGGCGAGGTCGTCGAGCAGACCAGGATCGGTACGAGTAGTGCTATCTTTACGACGTCGCCGTTACCCCCGTCATCAACGTCGGCATCCTCCTCGTCGTCCACGTCCTCGGCCACGACCACGAGCACCAGGAGCACCAAGACCACCACGAGGAAAACGTCGCCGATCAGGACCACGAAAACGAACGAGATAAGCCAGGAGAATGTTCAGGATCACGACGATATCGAACGGATGGCTCCGGTACAGTGCCTTTTTTACCTCGAGGAGTCGCACAAGAGGGATGTCTGTCATGAGGAGTTCGGTTTGCGCAGTCGGAAAAGTTTTGTAACCGTAAGGGAAAATCGCTATTGGTTTATAAGTGGCCTGCGTCTACGGCATTGCTGCGAGCACGCTGTCGTGAACGCCCTGGCTCCCGGTAAGGGTGGCCCGCTCGAGGATGTTTTGAATGGAGGTCGGAGATGTACAGCTGCCTTGGAAAAATTATTGGCTGTGGACGCACTCGCTGCCAGGCTTCACTGTGAATTCGAGGAAGTATTAGCGCGCTACGACTGTGCCCAGCCCTATTCGGTTATCCACAACTGCACCCACTGCAAGGTGAGTCCACAACGTTTCCTTCCTACTAGATACTACTCTCTTCTAACTCTGTTCTATCCCATTCGTTTTCGTACCCCTCTAACCTACAATTCACAATAGACGTCCCACCGGTATCTACGACGCATGACAAATGTCCCTATCTCGTGATCTGCCTACTGGCTATACCCATTGTCCTCAACCCGAATCACAAGTAACGAATGGCACTGAGATAAGACCTAAATAAAAAGTCTCGACTAGAGTCCAATACCTAATAAAATAGAAAACTAGCCTGGGATCTCCGGTTTTGGACTCTTCCTGGAGATGGTTTTCACGAGTTGACCCACATTTACGCGTTCAACGATTCCGTCACGCTTTCCGAGCTCACGCGGCGTTTGCGCTCTACTATTTCCCAGACAGTGAGAATCGCGCGGCGTCCCGACGCCATCGCGACGGTCCTGACCTGTTCCTGATTATCACCGTAAGGATCCCCTATATCAGTTGAACTGTCGCGTGCGTACCATTGTCCTCAATGCCGTCTGATAAAGACACGTGCACAATACACTGTTACGTTATCCTCCCATCTCGTTATTATTATCATTATCAGATCCAGAGACAAGTCCCAAGGGACTGAGGGACTGCGAACAGACGTGGACAGTAAAATAATAGTGATAGCTAATATACATCGAAAATTTCCATAAAAGCAATATTTTATTAAGCCAGTCTACTCAACCTCGTTCATCCACCTCGTACCCCTGGTCTTCGTCTATATCGCGTACCCTGTCCCTCCGCAAGACCAGTTCCAGAAGCCCCAAGAAGGAACGACCCCTCCTTGGACAAAGTTCGCTCGATCGAACGAACCTCTTACCTCGTTCCTCTCGGAGATCGACCGTCTTCCTTAGCGAGAGAGAAAAAGAGTCAGCTCTCGCTCCTTCCGAATCTCCTACGTTAAATCTCTCAGAGGGTCTTCCCAAGGGCTCATGATATTTCACCAATAACAACCGATATTTCCCTATGTTACTATTACGATTTTTATATCGTTCTCTTCCTGGCTGGATTCTCACTCAATGTACTCTTCATGGTCATGGATTCTCTTTTTCCTTTTTATCTTCATCCCCCTTGCACCCCTGCAGCACTTGAGAGTTATCATTTTTATACGAGGCAGGGGGCGCCACTTTGCCTCTATGAAAATCGCAAGTTTTCACGATATTCAGAATTATACTATATATACTATATATATATATAATATACGGTGTCTGATCGACTATACTTTAATTATACTATAATTTTTATCTTAACCACGAGACGCCATTGTCGATTTGACTGGTATCGATTGTTACGTATGCGAGTCGATGTTTTTTGGCACATAGCATTATTGCGTTACGGGTCTATCGGTACTTCGAAATTTTTCCTTTGTTCGTCAGACTCTTCTCCTCCTTTCAACTAACCTCCGTATCGCGTGTCCTGGATTTCACGATGGTCTTCCTGCTTCGCGCTCAAGTACCACTCGTAGTTCCTTTACTTGGATTGTCGAGTAGAGAATGTCTTTCTTTCTTGTTTTACATAAATCCCTCAAGATACGCCGATGGATCTGGATTGATCGATGGCGCTTTGCTTGTGCCGTCATTCCTGTAATGTCATGCTATTAGGTCTAATGTGTTTACATGACGATGTGTATACAGGATAATGAGCTTTTGTCTATTTGCATGAGAAAATGTGGGCTACATTCTCCCATGGGGTATATCTATTCGGAAATTGGACAAGACTTTGGTCTCGATGTATATTTTTGAGTGAATAAAAATTTTGAAAAAAATTTTTTTTTCTAACTTACGCGTTTCACACGTCGACAAAATATTTCGGCGCTTCGAATATATTTCGATATTTTATTATGACCTTAACACTTATCTATGTTATACCGTAACAGATGGAGACAGTATGATTTTCATGTGAATCTTTTTTTTTTTTACTTTGAATATCCCCCTTATGTTAAATCCCAATAATTCCCTATATATATTCATATTCCTTCTAGAAGAAATATTCTGTATAAAGAATCCACTTTCCTTTCCCCTATCACACCTATGTCTGCAACCACTTGGCTCGAGACACCCCGTAAAGCCATGTAAAAATATGCCGGAAATCGTCCGAGGATACGTATTTCCGGAAACGTTCGTCCCTCCAATGGGAACCTTATAACGATATTGGTGCTTGTCCAGCGTGATTCGCCCGTTTCCGTCCTCATTTTCAGTCCCATGGGACGTCACTGCCGATAGTAAGAAAATGTCAGTATCGGTCGGATAATTTCAAAACGTATAGTAAAAGTTCAAAGGCCATGGCCAGTGCTACAGTAAAAGGCTTTCCGAAGGAATGCCATTTCGTATTCAAGTTACGGGATCGCGAACTTATTCTCCGTTGTACAGTTGGTACCCACTGTGTGTACTTAGTAAATACGCGAAGTGTCTACAAAGTGGGCAACGATGTCCTGAGGTAACCCAGTGCCAGTACATGTATATTATACACACATATTGTATATATATCCACAAAACGAACCTCCATAGACATACATGGCGAAGGGGGGTTACAGCGTTCTTAATTGAGATCATCTTACCGCAAATAATTGCATCTACCCTCTGGCGGCGTCATCGCGACCCTCGGGAAGGAGGAAGCTGCATCCTCGGCTGGGCGGAAGAAAATTAATATCCATTCCCGCGCATGGCGCGTCGTAAGAAAATCATTTTCGCTCTCGAACTTTTACGACATATATCAGCCAGGGGATGATTCGAGCATAAACAGTGAAAAATATTCAACCCTCTTTTCCTATATCGAACCGAATAAACCAGGCGCAGGGTGTAATAATTAAATCCCAGGTAATACCCACCCCTCGATTATGCGGCATACCAAGGGGGTGTAAGAAAAAAAGATTAAGTCATATATATCACGCACGTACCACCGTCGTGCACAGAGGTGGTAATTAGAATTCTCCTAGCTGGTGCAATTTCATTTAGGGGTTGCCGACAAAGTTTGACTAACCGTAACCTTTTGATGGAATTTGTCTTGGAAGCCTCTGTTTGTTCTGCCCTCCCCCCGCCCCCCTTAATCCAGACCGAATAAGGGATGAAGTAATTGAACCGGGAGGACACTTAGTCTTCGGGGGACCCTCGACAGTATGACAAAATGCCGGTATGGGCTGAGAACGTCTGGTTTATGGTGACGTAAACATTTTAACGTCGACTAGAGACACTGCTTTGTAACGTAAGACTGGGTTCGCGATTAGCCCATAATCCTTTTTCGCTCGACGGGTGAATAGAAGCCATTGCTAAATATTACAGCGTCGACCGGAAGTGGCTGGGCCCGATCGCGCTGGCACATCAGCGTATGGTTATTGGATTGGGGCATGTAATTTAGCCGGTGACAATTTCACATGCTCGTAACAGGGTGGGTTAAAGGGAGGGGTCGGGGGGTGTCCCCTGTATGTCCATACGTGCATACGGATACGTTATGGTATACGTATCTGTATATGCATTTGTGCAGCTATGGATCTCGCTCGCTCTTGAGCGTTGCCCAGCATCGGTGCATTAGGTATGGTCGCTGCAACCTGTCTGCTCCAGGCATTACCACTTAACATATCAACCAATATGGCCACACATGTACGATACAGACGCGTAACGTATCTCTTGCAGGCCAGTGAAAATTTTGGAAAAAAGGTTGACTCTTTTGAGTGAAAAAATTTCATAGAGTTCAGTCAATCGGTTTATTTACATCGATCCGATTCTTTGCATCGCACGTTGTTTAAGGACGATGCTAGATCGAAGCGACGATTTGACAGCTGTCAAAATTGACAGTTAGGATTCGACCGCACGGGAATGTATACATATAGTCTCGTATCTTTGCGACCTATGCTGTTTCCGTTCTATAGGGATTCTTATGATCCTTCCTCACCTCTAAAGCGTTTCTTTCCTCGATTGAAACTCTCGACGGATAACGCTAAAGGGTGTTCACAGGGAAAACTACTTTCCCGATGGAACTTTTATCCGATCCCGTCCCTTCGGAGTTGGATTAACGCTGAACTTTTCTCCTATTAACTTTACTCTCGTCTCATCGTTGCTTTATGGCTCGGAGAAGAAAGATTCTTCGAGGACTAGTAGCTGCCACCAGTCTACTCCCTCGAGTTCCAACCCTGGCAAAAATGAAATCTGTGCTCCCTCCGTACGGTTCCGATAAATTCAGAATACTTGCCAGTGAGCCATCCGGACATGGTCCGGCGAGATAAATTTTTCAGACCGTCCCCAGATATCAGCTGACGATTATATTCAGTCTGTGTCTAAAAAATTTTGCCTGGACCGCCCCTGGAGGCTGGTACCAAAATAAAATCAAGGATCAGGAAAAGTTCGTCTGCTGTAGATCCTTGGGATACTTTTTGGATCTTTCATCTCAAAATTTTACATCCGTACCACAAGGTGTCTCAGGGTCCACGCAGTCCTGACGTAGACACAGCATCCCAACGCCTCCGGGTCTAATCAGATGCGCTAATGCATTATAAATCTTGGACGCATCGAAATTCCCCCACTTCTCCCCCCCCTTCGACGGGACTGATAAATTGCTCGTTAATTACCTATTAATTGCATAAACACGTGGTAACCCCCTCTCTGTCTCTCGCGTACCAAGCAAACGCGACGGGACTTGTATGCGGTCAGAACGTCATCGCTCTGCTTTCCATTGAGCCGAAAGGTGAATCTCCACACGACGACAATAAAGGGGACTGCCGCTCTCTTGATTTCTCACGCCAGACCCCCCTCCTTTCTGGTTTGGTGTCTAGTTTCATCGGGGCTGATAATAAGTAAGTTAATTAAACCCTGCACTAGCTCGCTCATTTACTCAGACTTTGATATAAACCCAGTCGGCACCCCCAACACCCTCCCCTCTGCCACCCCTCCGTACCCCCACCAGCCGCAACGGCAATAAAAGCAGCGTGTTGCGATGTGCGTCTAAAAATAGGCCCTGTTATTTCGGGACGTGGATTTTAGCGC